CATGAACAAACCTGTAGTTAGTTTCAGTATAGGGTCCATGCTTTCAACTGAAACGGCCAGAAGGCGAAGTTTCTTCCCACACTACCGCCTTCCATACTCCAACGCATGCACTTGCATGGATCATTGACAAATTTAGACAAACACTATTGAACCTTTGAACTTTATTCAGTTCAATTCAATTCAATTCATACATTTGTCCTCTTTCATTTTTTTCATATTTACAATGATGGTATATTTGTACGTATTCACACAAATATATATATATATATACGTATAGATCAATTCGCACAATACAACAAATTAACAAAAATGAATTGAAAGAGAAGGAGGGCCGACTAAAAAGTGGCGCTTGTAGGGCGTAGGCCCCCCTGTGCAAGTAATTATTATGACAAAATATTTTATGGGGGAAAAAATTAAAAAAACAATAGCAATAATTGATTCAGTAATACAAAAATCATTTCTTAACGCAAAACAATAATAAATATATACATAAAAAGAAACAATCAAAGTTACACAAACATCAAAGTAGCATTATCTCACCGTACAGATTATATTTGATTGGGGAAAAAAATAGCCTAGTCATTATTCAGAAAAAAAAGCATTGAGGTCTACTTTTGAAAATTTGTATCGAATTACACTGATCATTTGACCATCGTATTCTACTATACAAATTTTCACACTATGGTATACGTGGAAGGGCCTTGGAGTGGTTCGAAAGCTACGTCAGGGGTAGAAAACAATATGTACCCATAAATGGAGTAGACTCAGCCTTTCAACAGTTAATTTGTGGAGTTCCACAAGGATCTCTTCTGGGGCCTCTTTTATTTATATTGTATATGAATGACTATCAAAACTCATCCAATGTTTTGTCGTTAATATTATTTGCTAATGATTCTTCTGTGTTTTGATCACACAAAAACCCCAATGCACTATTTGAAACCGTTAATCTTGAACTGGAACTTGTTGAAGAGTGGATTTGTGCTAAACAAACTTTCCTTGAATTAAAATAAAACTCAATGTATACTCTTCAGCAACTCTATTTCGGGATTGCCTGGCAGTGTTTACATTATTAAAACTGTCATAAACTTCGTTGATTCGTCAAAATTCCCTGGTTTTTTCATTTACAATAAACTTTCTTGGGGAAATTCGTTTAATTACCAGCTGGACAAATTATTGATACTTTAAAAAACGGGTCATACGAATAATCTGCCACATTGATAGGTTAAGCCACACTAATAGTTTATTTGTATTTTAAAAAATATTGAAAGTTCATGACTTGTATAATTTCTTTTTAGGCTGTTTTATGTTTAAATTTAATTCTAACGAACTTCTTCATGCCATCACGTCGACATGCCAAAAGAATCAACAACTTCATAATTATCCAACCGACCGGCAGTCTTCCTTTTTCCACTTATACAAATTGAGAACTTTACTATAAAAAATAAAAAAATATTTTTACTCGTCCGGTTTACTGGAACTCCATGGAAATGCCGCTCAAACTGCTGCCCAATTTAAGTACTTTTAAAAATCACTTGAAACGTAAACTTCTTCCTCAGAATGAAAATGCTTAAGAGGGTCATCATGATGATGTCCATCGTTATTATCATACCTCGTTGGTTGGCTGCACCACATACCCGTTTTGATCTTCTTTTGTCTTGTTTTTCGTCTTATATATTTTGTAACAAACGTATTATATAGGGGGAAACCTTAATCACAAGCATAATGCTTCCAATGCTTCCTTCACATTTCTGCAGATTATTGTTAGCATCATTTGTTTTTTATTACTTGCATTAAATCATTTTTTACTGTTGTAACACCACCTATCTTTCGAATATATTTACATGTTTTTTACCTTGTATATGCGTTACTTTGTAAATTCTTTTCATATGCAGTTAATGTGGAAATAAAACCTAAAATTTGAAAGAGAATTCCACAATTTGGACCTGTAAAAACAAATGTCTTTTGTGCAAACGATGTTCTATTTAATGATAGATGAAAAGAGCTCGCCTGGCGATTGAAGTAACTATGAATCGAATCATTTTTTATGAACATATCATTAAAAGGCAAAGGTAATTGTTTAGTGTTAAGCTTGTACATTAACTGTCCACGCTGAAAATATACAAGTATTTAATTTTCTAAATTTTATTTTTCAGAAAAATATTAAAGTGGATATTCGTTGATTTCAAAAACTTACTTTATTTTCATTATTGCAAAGCTGAAACTTTGATTCGACAAGGTTATCAAAATTCAATGCTTGGAAACATTCGGAGTAATGATTATTATAAATTACAAAACGCTTAAAAACAGCCCCGGCATAGCGCCTGAAGAGCTCTCCGAACGCTGCTGAGATGTATGAGATCGCAGGATGGACATGATTTGCACAAGCAGACGATGTCCCATGATATTTCACACATTTTCAGTGCCTGTTTTTTCATCTTCTCTTGAGTTCTTTCTCTTACTTCACTACCGTCAGGCTAGATGTATAATCTATTGCCTCACTCTAAACCCCGCGCATGGTTTTATTTTGATGACAAATGCAGCGATACAAAAAAAGGAATCTGTCACTTGTTAACAAAATAAGACGCCATTGTATATTCAGCTTCACACACCGCGGTATATTCAGCGTTTCAAGAGGAAAAAAATGCCGTCCTTAATATCATTCCTTGGGTTTTTCAATTTGAAAGTCTGGTTTCTTTGATTGTTGATTAACCCCTATTCTGTGTGTTTGCAAACAAATTTTTTTAGTTATCAGAATCGGTTTCATATCCCCTTTTGAATGGTTTGAAATGCCATCACATCTACATACACTAAACTCATTATAATTTCAGAAATTATAGCTTTGCAATTATGTTCATTCTTTATGGGATGTCGTCTGCTTGGGCAGTAATGGTCCATTATGTGACGTCATTAAAACATCGTTATTTTTCTGGCGAATCTCTCGTATATCCCAGATGCTATGGAGGTGGTTGTATCAGTATTTTTATAAATCACCCGATATGTAGTTGACCTAAAACTTGTACGATGGCCATCTGTTAGCTTACCAGTTTCTAGTGATACATAAGTTGACATATTCGTGATTTTCTTTGAATTTCCACTTTAACGACAACGGGACCTACTGTTGAATTCTGTGAACACTCAAACTCCCTCTTTCACTTCTGTCCCTGCATTTCGACATAGCTAGATACCATCCCATATGTATTGTCAACATTTATGTATACATACGTGTTTTAAATTCAACACAATATACATGTATATTAGTTACTGTTGTGTATCCCCTTTTTTACCCCCCCCCCCCTGTGTGTGTATGTGTGTGTGTGTGTGCGTGTGTGTGTGTGTGGGTGTGTGTGCGTGTGTGCGTGTGTGCATTTGTGCGTTTGTGTCTCTCTCTGTCTCTTTCTTTTCCTCCCTTCTCTCTCTTTATACCCCTTTCTCTCTCCTCTCTCTCTGTCTTCTTCTCCTCCTTCTCTTTCTGCTGTAATTTTTCCCTCTTTCACGTTTACTTTCTTCACGTACCATCCTCATTTTGTCATCCTGCTACTGTTCTTATTTGTACTAGTTTCGTTTTTTGTCTGTCTTTTTTTTTTATTCTGTAATTTTCCAAATTCAGTTATGAATATCTAATGTTTAAATTATTATTGTGCGAACCTACACCTATAAAGCATTGCTGCCTAGTAGGGTCGTTTTTTTTTCATTTTCTGTAACCAAATAATTTTTCATTACAAGACTAAAAAAACAATGTCACAGATATTTCAATGCTAATTTTCTGTTATATCATAAGGTTAATCATTGTGATTATCATGTCATTTGTTTAATATAATATCGAAAATTAAATAAATTTGCTCTGTATAAAGCGAATACTACTACTACTAAAAAAAAAATAATAATGATGTTAAAGTGCATCAAACCCTATGTTGTGATTATGAGTTTACAAATAAAATGCTATAGAAATACAAAGAAAATATACATACGAATCATCTGATGAACTTGCAAAACTAATTATGTATCTCTTCATGAGATAACTTTTCTCGTAGGAGCGTGGGTTCAGTACGGTATTTATGCCCCATTTCCACGCCCAAACGTATCTACATAGCTATACATAATTATGAGCGAAGCGAGCGAGAAAGAAACATAGTCGTTGTAGTAAAAATATAACTCCTACATCATCAAACACGCTGCTTGAATATTGAATATGAAGAAATTATCCGTTACCAAGAATTATCCTAATTATTGATTATGCGAGCGAGCAAAAAAAAAAACTTTTTGTTTTGTTTTAGATTTGTCTAAATCATTAATAGTATTTGGTTAAGATACCATTAAAATAAACCCGCATTACATAAAATATCAAAATTGAGTTATTATATTCAAATTCATATTTTCTCTTCCGTTGAATCAACATTGCATACAATTGGAAAATATCAGGCATTATGGTAGAGAAGAGTTCAAAAGTATAGATATAATGACTGCTGTGAGATGAATAATTGTTGTATAGGCTAAAGGGGATGTTGCATCCTGATATCGACCCGAGGCGTGCCGAGGAGTATAGCAAGATGTAAAATCCACGAGAGCCCATAAAACAACTATTCCTCGAATATTAAAGCAGTCATTATATCTTTTATATATCGTAAAAAAGGGTTATAGAATACATGTGCGACTTACCAATCATGGTAATCAAGTTCGCTTACGCTCTCAAGGTCTGTGATGCATTTTGATAACTTGCGGGTAGACCTATAATGGTGTCTGATCGCACAATCGATTTTGTGTGCTAAAATTTTTCCGTGCATTGCGCGATCATGCACAACGATTGGTCAATGTTTTTCTTTCCAAATCGATATTCAAACCTTTATTGCTTGTGATCCTGACGGTGATACTCAAAAAATGAGGTGTCATATGAAAGATCAGGTTTATCTCCATATTTCCAATCGGGCGTCATTTAGATGTAGATCTAGGCCTTTCCCCCTTGTTTTCCTTTTCTTTTTCTTCCTTTTTCCCTTTGTTTCCTTCTTCTTCTTCTTCTTTTTCCGCTGTTCAGAGCACGGGCCTTATACAAACAATTAAGCACGAATCAAGTGGTGCGGTTTACACGCGTGTTTTATCAAACTCTTGAGAATGATATCATGTAGTGAAATCATACAACTAAATAATGTCTCAACATCTTGGCGCGAAACTTCAACGGAGAGCAAGCCATATAATCAAGGTGGAATTTCTGGAAGAATTAGAACGTCTTTTTCTCTTGTCTCACACAGTAGAAAAGTTTCTGTAGAAATCGCGTTGTTTTTACTGAGGAAAAACAAGGAGATATAAAGACAACCGAACATTAAAAGTATGATCGGAAAATCCGTAGATATGCTACGTAAGGCAAAAACTAAGGTAATGTAGTCTAAGCCATTCTCTGAACTTATTTAACTTACTGCAAAATTTACAAGAATTGTAATTTCTTGTCAATTCGGGAGGTACCAAAAAAGCGTCCCTTCATTGCCATTGGGACTTTGGATAAAAAGTGAAATGATTTCAATTATTGTTAGTATCTGGCGTTTGCACATAGGCAATAATATGGGTAAGATGATTATTCTGAAAAAAGCAGATACTCATGTTTAAGGCCTAGACCTTACAATGTGGCCATGTTTAGGGATCTTCATGCATTTCATGGACTTTGTTCTCTAGAATAAACCAAAACTGAAACTGAAACTGAAACTTACCCGAAATGGGTCTGATACACTTGAGCTTGTATTTTGGATGTACCATTGCATAATAGACAGGGATGGCAATAAAAGCGGTGAGAAGAGCGATACTGTTCCTTACGGGATGAGCGTAGAGGGCCATGACAGCGATGAATACTAGCGCTGCCATGTAAAGGAACGCAATGACTAGAGGAACCTGACGGGTTACAAAGATATATATTTCTCATTTGAAAATACTTTGGAATAGCAATATAGATGATGAAGACGATGATCATGATCATGATCATGATAAAAGCAATAGTCGTAGTAGTAGTAGTAAGAGCAGTAATAGTAGAAGTAGTAGTGGTAGCAGTAGCAGCAGCAGCAGTAGTAGTAGTAGTAGTAGTAGTAGTAGTAGTAGTAGTAGTAGTAGGCTAGTAGTAGAAGTAGTAGTAGTAGAAGAAGTAGTAGTAGTAGTAGTAATAGTAGTAGTAGTAGTAGTAGAATGAATGATTATAATAATAATAAGAAGAAGAAGAATCATAATAGTTAAAATATGAATAAAAGTGATATTAAGAACAATAACTATAACAATAACAATTATGTTTACAATACTACTACCAATATTAATAATAATAATAGTAATAATATAAATGATAACGAAAAAAAAATGATAAAAATGATAATGATTACTGATGAAGTCATCCGTCTGGCAAACGACGCCTCGTGTGCAACTTGTATTGTAACCTTGACAACTGATACCCCCCCCCCCCCCGCCGCCCCCCGGCCGACACCGACTGCCACATATCTACAGCAAACTTACCTTGTAGGGTCGCGGGATATCGGGGTACTTCCATCTGTAATAAGGCACAATAGCAATGGTAACTGATTCAAACACGACATCTATGAAACCGAGGTATTCGACCAGAGCAATGATGTCGTCTTCGATTAGGTAGACGAGCAGGAGAACACAGGAGAGAATGGCAGGAAGGGGCGTGTTTCGCGAGATGGAGACCATGGACAGGATCTCGGGAAGATGACCTTCTCGGGCCGATGAAAACTTCACCCTGATAGAAATAGAAAGCATGCCCGTATATTAGGGAGTTTACAGATACAATCTGCGCATGGGCAGATAGAGGTCATTTGTACCAAAATGGTAAAACCAACAGAGATGAATACTGGATAGGCGCTCATGAAAGTTATGTAACATTATTCATTCATGCACCAACGGTACATTCTATGATACGCAGGTGGAAGTATAATTCTTTTCAAGAGGTCAAATAAAAGGTATTCATGAAGCACATCTAGGACTTTGGCAGTTATTATTCTAAGATGCTCAAAGTGGAACTTCTCCATGTGTAAAAGATCTGTGGATATTTGGGGTCACGTGTACCATGTGGTATCTGTAAACTCCCTTATTCTTTTAAATCGATCGCAAAGACTTACAAAAATCAACTCAAGGCAATTTCAACTGCCTTGAGCGTCACCTGTTGAAAATGTGCGACTATTACAATAATGTAAACTGCATAATCGAGACATAATTGATATGTGACATACAACAGGGCAAAGCATTGGTATCAAATCGAGACCAGATCGCCGTAGGATGAGCAGAAAGATGTGAGCACGGGCTGGCTTAAAAATGAGTTTTTGTGATGATCGCATGTAAATATTTTGCCCTATGTTCATCGTTTTGTTTGAAGTTATATCAATTAATTTGTCTATTTTATTATTTTATTTTTCCAAGCTAATTACAGACTACATGCTTACTTTCTGCGGTTAGGGTTAGGGTAGGGAGTTGACATGGAACAGTTGTGTCATATACATATATATACACCCCAAGGTTGGGGATGACATGTTGTAGGGACTATACCTGGAAGATCTGAATATGCTGCTGTTGAAACTGCCCAAAGCAGACATGGCAACGAATAACCAGATCAGCCAAGACCATGATATTCCTAGGGCTTGGACGCTGTAGTCCTGCAATGAAATATAATTATTATCATAAAAATGATGTATCTGGATTATTATAATTAGACAGTCATTCTAGTTCATCATGGTATGTACGTACAATGTTTGGACCTAAAACATTATTTTAGGTTACACAAGGGATGACGGCATGTCTCCGGTCACACTGTCAGTATCATTCATTAGAGGTGTCGTAGTCGAGTGGTTCAAACACTTGACTTGAGATACAATCAAGGTCGTGGGTTCGATTCCCGGTACGGCACTTATATGTCCATGCCACTCTTCTCTCAGATGTTAAATGCGTACCTGGTTGGGTGACATTTCTTGAATGTTGTGAGCAACGAATTCTGTAACCTAGCTATATAAGAGCCGGAGATTATTGGAGGGCCTTGATGAACACCTTGCGTAATGAGCGCTACAAATGTATTTTTCCCACAGCCTCATAGATGCATCGGTTTTTAACCAGAATCCAAGGCTGCATTTTTAGGGGGCAATCCAGGACCCTGATAGAGAGGTGGTGGGGTGGTTGAGGATGGGTGTGGGTGGTTGGGGGCATTGGTGGGGCTGGATCTCAGTTCTGAAGAAGAAGAAAAAACTCCTACAAGCAATTTAAGATTAACAACAATATGGGTGCCAAGTTCCTCAAAAATCTCTGACACGAAGGCAGAAAGGATCATTCCGATGCTAAATTAATATAATTATATAAGAAAGAAAAGGAAAAATCTAATTTTCTGAAAAGCGCACAAGAAAGTATGAACATTTGCAAGTGCCCTTTGGGCCTAACATTTGAAAGCGGTACAGGGACGCAATGGGATACGGGTTCATTTTTAATTCAGTTATGCCACTTTGACTTTCTTTAAGAAGAGGCACTGGCGGCCACTTTTCATGCATGTGCTCCAGTAGAGCTCCAGTAGAGATCCAATACAGCTCCCTTCACATAGAGAACGAGCTCGTTGAAAATCAAAGGTCGAGGATACATATTGTCTGAAAATAATAATTATTACCGCTGCAACAGCTGTGGAGGTTAGAATCTGAGTCGGTGAGAGGAGGGTAAAGTAGGCGACGTTGGCCATGAGGTATACCATCGTGATCATGGACATCGAGATGACGATACTCAGTGGGATGTTCCTGTAAGAGGAAAAATAATCGAAATGGCTGCAGGAAAGCGTTGAAAAACCAGGAACTCTCGTGTGAGCATGCAAGAAATGAGCTAACTATAACCCGGATTCGTCATTCATACCGTAAATTAAATGAAAGACATCACTGAATTTTGAAAATTGCATAAGTTTCTTGCAGCGAAAAAAAGCTGTTATTGACAATGTACGAAGGTTTTTCCAGTCAATGGCGTTGTGACATTATTTGAGGGGGTATTGAGGGCGCCATAGAACATACTAGTACTCGATAAATGAAATGGGAAATTATAAAGGCCATCGATAAGCGTCAAGGCGTGCAATGGGTTGTATCATTATCTTTCTTCTTTCCCTTTCCCTCTCTGTTTTATTTTCCTTCTGGGGTTTTTCTCGCTCGATCAAGTTTATGAGGGGGGGGGGTGAAGGCAACGTGCCTCCGTAGCAAAGAAAAGCAAGCTGTCTAGTTTATGATATTTTAACATTTCGATACGCACATAATTATCAGAGCATAAAGAATTAAGATTACCCTTTTATAAGGTTTATGTCGTTCATTGCAGAGCATATTGGGCCTCCTTACTGTTATATGGTTTCATTATACTGGTATATCAATCAATACAAGTAGGTAATAATTGAAGCAACTTACCGTGCCGGATTCTTTACTTCCTCAGAGATTGAGGTGACAACACTCCTGAAAGAAACAAGATGTATACAATTATACGTGTGATTATACTTGCCATGATACTCTCACTGTTACGGTATAGTAGGGATGATATTATAAGCATCCATAAAGCATTCATGATGACGAAGACCATGATGGTGGTAATGGTGGTGATGATGATGATTATGATGCTGATGGTAGTGGTAATAATGATGATTATGATGATGATGGTGATGATGGTGGTAATGGTGGTGCTGATGATGATTATGATGATGATGGTAGTGGTGATAATGATGATTATGATGATGATGGTGATGATGGTGGTGGTGGTGGTGGTGGTGGTGGTGATAGTGTTTTTTTTTCTCACCAGAAGCATGTGAATGCTTGTACCGATGGACTTGGAAATGAAAAAATTGATGCCTTACAAAATTGCACTAGCACATCGACTTGGTTTAAAACCTTGAACCTCCCCGTTTCGAAACCACTGCACTACCACTAAGTCATCCCCTGCCCCCCCCCCCCTCCAAAAAAATAACCTAAGTAGCCGTCAATTGAGAAAATATATGTGAAATCGAGTGACTATGGATAATATACTGAATATTTTTTCCCACCGCATTCTAAAATCCATGTCTGAAATAATATTTTGATCACCTTTTATATATTTGGTCACACCGAGGAATCACTATTTGTATACCCGAATCGCATGAGCTAGCAATTTCTTTTTGGATCAATGAAGAATTTGAAAAGCAACTTTCTGCGCTACTGCAAGATTCGGAACAGTAGTTTTTATTCGCAGTTACAAAAATTGAAGAATTTAGTTTACTATTGGACAGGGGGAAGAAAAATAAATCATAATTTTAGTTACTATGATACTTGATATGATATTATAAGATAAGATAAGATACAAATGTACATGCTATGATTTGATATGATAAGATATAATCAAAGAATATTAGTTGAGTTGAGTTGAGGTTTATTATCCAAACGTTCAAATACAGTAATATAACAATAATAACAATAATAAATGTATGTTTACCAAATATCTCGAATGAATAATAGGGACCAGAAAAAAGCATAAAATGCTAATCGTGTCTGGTACCTTTGAAGTACAGTATCTTAACATTTAACAATTTGTGTGTGTATATATATATATATATATATATATATATATATATGAATTATTGAATACAGGTACAACTTAATATGATATGATACATGTAAGTGACGAAAACTGAGTGTAATACGAACCAGCCGCTATACGCCCATAACCCAGACAGCAGTCCAGTGGGAAGGAGAGAGATATCATAAGACGCCACGTCGAAGGAGTCATCAAAATGTTCTGTCTTACCTATAATCAAAATTAGAACAACGCCATGTACGTGTTGTTAGATAGGACAAGCCATAATGTTTGTCCTATCTAGCAACAATTAATATATGCAATTCGCATTCTGACTATTGAAATACAAGTACAAATACAGTGAAACCATGCTATAGTGATCACCCGTCTACAAAGACCACATTTTTTATTTCCCTTGAAAATGGTTTTTCGTTGGAACATGTATTAAAGGAACCTGTCTACAAAGACCACCTGTTTACAAAGACCACTTTGTGTGTTTCCGTTTGGCGGTCGCTATAGGCAGAATTGATTGTATTCGTAACAGGTGAATGAAATAATTTGTAACGATTTCATTACATTATGAAAAATGTCCATTTAGGGAAAACTTGTTTACCTTTTGTCAGGTTATGTAGCCCAGTTATGATGATGATGACTAGACCGACTATCTTTGTAATGCTGAGTACACCGGCCAACTTGGATGCCAGACGAACGCTGATACAGTTGATTACCACGATGAAGACTGACAAAAGGGAGAAGGCCATTGATTAGGAGCTTTATCAAGTTGATGATTCAAACTAACCAGAACGTATCATTTATCTTTATTAATAGATTATTAGAGAGCCCGTTTCCTAAACAATCTTTCGGCCTACCGCGTAAAGGACCACCATGTTTACTGGCCAAAGTGACAGGGTTCAATACACGCAAATACATGATAAGTATTGAAGTTTCTACTATCATGCAATCATCGAAACTTTATTCTGATCATTTTGGAAATTCCGATTTAATAGTCGGAGCACCATCAAAGAGTCCTTAGTCGCAACAGTCTATAGCACGTAGGTCTACCATGTCTACTGGTCCAAGTGACCAAAGCCAAGGCACGCACCGCATGCAGTCACACTGGAAGTTTCTAGCACCATGCAATCATGTAAACTTTATTCTTTAAAACAAATGATTGCTGACTCACGGAGAAAGAAGACACCGAGGAGTCGCAGAGACACGACAGGAGTTTCCTCGCACTGGAAGAATGGTGTCAGCAGGTAGCTTGAGATGGTCATTATCATGACTGCTCCGCCGCTAGGTACGATGATCATTTCGAGCACCCAGAGGCGGATGAAAGCCATCAGGGGTCCCCAGGCCTGGAGGATGAAGGTGAAGTCCCCTCCTGACTTCTTCATGATGACAGCAAGCTCGGCCATCGAGAGGGCGCCACACGTCTGGATGATGGCGCATACTATCCATAGGATGAAGGAGAGACCCACCGAACCTCCTGCACCTCGAAGGACACCAGTCGGAGAGATAAAGATGCCTGTGCCAATTATTAGACCAACCTGTATTAAAAACAAATCTTAAGAATATCTGGCTATATGGGGATGTGTTCAAAAAATAGATGACCAGACAAAACAATAAATTTTGTCAAAATATTCTCTCATAATTTCCTAAGAATAACCCGTTCATTCATATCATATTCTTGTTAAGTACCCTACACGCAGGGGCGTCGCCAAAGGGGGGGGGTGGGGGTGCGACACCCCCCCCCCACCTGTCAGGATATTGTCGGTAAAATTGCGCTGCCGTCGGGAAAAAGAGAAAAGGGGGAGGGAAAAAAAGAGGGAAAAAAAGAGGGAAAAAAAGAGAGGGGAAGGGAAAGAAAAGAAAAAAAGAAAAGGAAAAGAAAAGGAAAAGAAAAGAAAGAAAGGAAAAGAAAGGAAAGAAAGGAAAAGAAAGGAAAGAAAAGAGAAGAAAGAAAGAGAAAAAAGAAAAAGAGGGGGAGAGGAAAGAAAGGAAAAGAAAGAAAAGAAAGAAAAGGAAAAAAAAAAGAAGAAAAAAGAGTGAAAGGGAAACAAAAGAAACGGGGGATGAAAGAGAGGAGAGAGAGGGGAGGTAAGAGTCTGAGAGAGGTGGAGTGGGAGTAAAAGAGAAAAGGGGGTTGTTGGGTGGAGTCGTCTCGTCGAGGGAGCAAGAAAGACACGGGTAAATATGTTGCTGTGTCGGGTCAGCTGTGTCGGTATTCTTGCTCGATCCTCATCAATGCATAAGTTTGAAGTCGGTGAGATGTATAATGTCGGTCGGCCGACAAGTTTTTTTCCCTACGAACTGCGACTTCTTATCCGCTGTGACGACTTCGAGAGAGACTACAACTACAATACTTGTATTTTCTCGAAGTTTCACTTTCCTATAATATCAGCTAAAGAAATCAGAGGTTTAAAATTTTCGGGGAAACTAAATTCAAACAAGGTTTAAGAGTCAACAACGGTACGACGAATCATTTTCCTTTCTTTATATTGTGATGAAACGCCAAAAATTCCGCGCTTCGCGCGGAAGGGGAAACTTCATTTAGACGAATCGAGAACGGTACAACGAATCGTCTTCTTTCTCTAATAATTTAAGGAAACGTCAAAGCTTCCGCGCTTCGCGCAAAAGTGGGCAACTGAATTCAGACAAAATTAATAGGGTTTATTAAAAGTCGAAAACGGTACAACGAATCGTGTTCTTTCTCTAATGATATGAGGAAACGTAAAAGCTTTCGCGCTTCGCGCGAGAGGGGGGAACTGAATTCAGATGAAAAGGGCTTAATAAGATTCGAAAACGGTACGAGGAATCGTCTTCCTTTCTCTATATTGTGATGAAACGCCAAAAATTCCGCGCTTCGTGCGGAAGAGGAAACTTCATTTAGACGAGTCGAGAACGGAACGACGAATCGTCTTCTTTCTCTAATAATTTAAGGAAACGTCAAAGCTTCCGCGCTTCGCGCGAGAGGGGGGAACTGAATTCAGACAAAATTAATAGGGCTTATTTAGAGTCGAAAACGGTACAACGAATCGTGTTCTTTCTCTAATAATTTAAGGAAACGTCAAAGCTTCCGCGCTTCGCGCGAGAGGGGGAAACTGAATTCAGACAAAATTAATAGGGCTTATTTAGAGTCGAAAACGGTACAACGAATCGTCTTCTTTTCCTAATAATTTAAGGAAACGTCTAAGCTTCGGCGCTTCGCGCGGGAGGCTCATCACCCACACCCCCTTATGAGCGCGCTTTTAAGTGATTCTCTTGCTCACTACCGCCCCTCCCTAAAATAAGATCCTAGCTCCGCGCCTGCATTAAAATATATAGCTATGATGCTGAAAAAATTTAAGAAATAATTCGTATATTAATGTCGTCGAGGAAAATGACAATTTTGCGCATATGCAAGTACTATAGATAGTCCATAGGAAAAACAATGTAGCCTTCGGCCCCAGGTTTATAGGGTTGACTCTGTAGATATTGGAAATTTAATTTTGTCGGTAATTGGTGGCTACTTTTGTCGGTAATCGTTGGCCTCTACACCCCCCCCCCCCCCCCCCCCCCCCCCCACTGAAAAAGGTCTAGCGACGCCCCTGCCTACACGCGCTGATTATTGCACTGTTAATTTTTTTCAGGGGAATAAATCTCAAAAGGATTTTTTACAAGAGTAGTTTGTATTCATAAATTGCTTGTTTGTAACTATAAACAAAACTATCTCTTCAGATTTAGATTTAGTATCATGCCACATTTAAAATATATATTAGAGCACAAGTCATGGACTACTCACGAGATGCCAGATGCAGCCGAAAAGGCCCAGATGTCTTGGTATGGCAACCTTGTCGCTATGTTCGTCGTTACCCTTTCCATCGTCATGATCACCAGCAACACCATTCCTGGAAAAAAACACCAGAAGCCATAGTGTTTGTTCGTTGCACATGAGATGTCAGCAGGGACTTTTAGATTTGCACGTCAACAGCTTTGACTGCAACGTGTGACGTCATTTTAAGGCACTACGCATGCGTTACGTCGTCTCAGTCGGCGATCGAGAATGCGTCAACCTTGATTTTCCTAAATCTTGTACATACACATACATACATATTGATATTTATATAGCGCCTTTACATGCTCAATGTACTAGTATGCCGCGTGCGCATAAAATATACAGTTCCTCAGGTAGACAAAGGAACATCCCTTCCCTGCTATGTAAAAAATGTGTAGAACAGGTGTCACATGCATATTCACCTGTTCTACACATTTTTATATATTAATAGCAGTGAAGGGATGTTCTTTTGTTGAGGGTAGAATGAGGAACTGTATATTTTGTCCTCTTTCTTTGTCCGTGATGTTCATAGTGTTAATTCCTGCATGCATGTATATCGTCGAGTGCAATCTAAAATATTTCTAATTGTAGTCAACATGGGCAGTTAAATACGTTGACACGCATGATCAGTCGGCGTTCGTCGTGTTCTCGTCCACTCATTCTAAAAGTCCCTAATAGGGCGCTTTAGTAACGAGACGGAAGGCAACGAGGACTGGATAATTTACTCAACCGAGATCAAATAATGTATGCAGTTCGGATTCTGTCTATTGAAATACTATTATTCGTATCAGGTGAATGAAATAATTTGTATTGAGGCGCTTCACAGAGACTTATGCATTTAATTTGGTTACATTACGAAAATGGTCTATTGTACGGCGATACACTTCCGTCGAGTTTAGGGAATGAACGCTAGTAGGGACTTTTAGATTTGCGTGGACTGATACGTGTGACGTCCATTCAAGGCAGTGCAATAAAAAGGACGTCGATCGTAGCAATCCACGTTGTTGTTGTGCAAATCTAAAAGTCCCTATTATGGCTGAGACGGGTCATGAAAATCAACAAGAGGGAGATATTTCTGGTTCGCACATGCGCAGATTGATTATTTTGCTCGGTTACCCTCGTCTTTGCCTTCCGTCATTTTCGTAATGTAACCAAATTTAATGCATAAGTCTTTGTGAAGTGCCTCAATACAAATTATTTCATTCACCTGATAAGAATAATAGTATTTCAATAGACAAAATCCGAACTGCATACATTATTTGATATAGGTTAAGTGAATTCTCCCGTCCTCTTTGCCTTACGTCTCGTTACTAAAGCGCCCTATTCTGCTGATGGGCAGGGGCGTCTCCAAAGGGGGGGGGGGGAGGGGGTGTGGGGTGCGACATCCCCCCCCCCCCCCCACCTGTCAGGATATTGTCGGTATATAAAATTGCGCTGCCGTCGGGAAAAAAGAGAAAAGGGAGAGGGAAAAAAGAGAGGGAAAGAAAAGAAAGAAAGGAAAAGAAAGGAAAGAAAAGAGAAGAAAGAAAAAGAAAAATGAAAAAGATGGAGGAGAGGGAAAAAAGGAAAAGAAAGAAAAAAGAGAAAAGGAAAACAAAAGAAACAGGGGATGAAAGAGATGAGAGAGAGGGGGCTTGTTGGGTGGAGTCGTCTCGTCGAGGGAGCAAGATGGGCACGGCTAAATATGTTGCTGTGTCGGGTCAGCTGTGTCGATATTCGGTACGACGAATCGTCTTCCTTTCTCTATATTTTGATGAAACGCCAAAAATTCCGCTCTTCGCGCGGGAGGGGAAAACTTCATTTAGACGAGTCGAGAACTGTACAACGCCAATCGTTTCTCTTATTCTCTTATAATTTAAGAAACGTTAAAGCTTCCGCGCGTCGCGCGGGAGGAGGGAAACTGAATTCAGACAAATTAGGGTTAAGAGTCGCGAACGTTACAACGAATCGTCCGTTTTCTCTAATAATTTAAAGACCGTCAATACTACTGGATCAGAAGGGATTAGACCACACAACGAGGTCACTGACAGGTGGCTATCTCATTAACTCAGCTCTCAACTAACATAAGAACAAGAGGATCATGGGGGACCAACAGGCACCTATTGGGGAAGTGTTCTATCTAGAGAGAGCAAGTAGCTAAAAGTAGGACAGTGGGGCTTTAAGGAAACGTCAAAGCTTCCTCGCTTCGTGCGGGAGAGGGAAACTTCATTCAGACAAGGATTAAGAGTCGAGAACAGTACACCGAATCGTCTGCTTTTTCTCATAATTACATGAAACGTCAAAGCTTCCGCGCTTTGCGAGGGAGGCTTATCACCCACACCCCCTATAATAAGCACGCTTCGTGTACTCTTTTTTAAAGTGATTCGCTTGCTCTCTACCGCCCCTCCCCAAATTAAGATTCTAGTTCCGCGTCTGCATTAAAATATATAGCTATGATGCTGACTAACTTGACGAAATAATTCGTATATTTATGTCGTCGAGGAAAATGACCATTTGTGCATACGCAAGTACTATAGATAGTCCATAGGAAAAACAATTTAGCCTTCGGCCCCGGGTTTATAGGGTTAAATTTGTAGATATTGGGACATTTAATTTTGTCGGTATTTGGTGGCTAGTTTTGTCGGTAATCGTTGGCCTCTACACCACCCCCCCCCCCCCCCCCCACTGAAAAAGGTCTAGCGACGCCCCTGCTGATGGGTTCGGTTTTTGATGCGCCTTGTGCTAGGGCATCGTACTCAAAACTGAATGCAAATTGCACAGTACACAGAATGCGTTGTGTGAGATGGTTATTGAAATTCATTCAGGCGATTCAGGATGTGGGCCATGTATTATCTTTTGATTGATCGTAAGGTTAATATTGAGTGTGAGTATATGAAAATCGTGCATTGATCAAACTTAAGATCGATCATAACTCTTTATAACAAGCGGCCCTGGCCTCAAAAAAAGAAAGCCGGTATTTTAAAAGCGAGAATCCCAAAACTGGGTAAAAATATATGTCTTGGGAGGCAAGGCAAGAAACCTGGGTGTTGCTGCTGCTGAGTGATGTTTACTTGCACGGTTGCACCAGTTCAGCACAAGCACAGCACACATGACATTTCATCTGTAATAATCTTCGGGATTGAAGGACACATAACTACCAGAACAAAAAAATAATATATTTCATCACCCTCCAGCTTTAATGTGGTACAATAGAATCGCTTTCTATAAGGGATATCTCAAAAGAAATGCAACGAGATTTAGATTGCTAATATTTTAATATTTCGTTGGCATTTCGTATGTAATATTGTAGTAGCATATGCTATATGAATGTCACGGGAATTTAAACTAAAACTTCGTTCGACCAAAAACAGGTTGGCTTAAACGTAACCGTCCGATATAGCCCCCAGAGCTGGTCAAACAGACCCCGAAGTCCGGTCGAATTCACAGTCCTCAACTGTCCCATGGTGATCAGACTTTATCAAAAGAAAATAGTGTGATTGTACAATACAGATCACGAGAACTGACCAGAATGTCTGTCGGAAAAGCGGTTTTCAGATACAACATACATAGCTTATTAAAAGGAAACATACGGAATGAATTGGACACACTGAATGAAACAAAAATAAATAAATAAATAGATAATAAAATATAGTCATTCTCCAATATATGTTCATCCAGCACCATAAAATCCTGTGCTTATTTCTTTTTGACCTTGCTAACCTACTTAATTTTGCGGTCTGCTTGATTTGAAAAAGTTGCCGTCATCCCTCGGATTATTTTGCTATCGTACACAAAGGGTTTATACACCTTAATCGAAATTCCAGTCTAGTCCTATTTTACAAAAGGAATACACGCTTACCTCAGGGACTTGGGATACTTTTGTATGCTCTATAGCAGATATATTGTCATTAATCCTCCCAGTTATTTGATTCCCACACTAGTCATATCAAGTCAAATTGAGTCATCCAAGAATATATACTATGGGTCTAGTATAACTATAGACTGTAGACATATTGTTTGCGCAGATATATTTTAGTTATTATATTAGACGCTAGTATTTTCCCTTCACCCTTTGTAAGTGCTTATTTCCCATCATTCAGAAAATGCAATTGAACAACTGCAGAGTCAATAACTTTTTCTTGCATCCATACATTTGAGCCGTACCTTTCTTAACGAAATGTCTTTGTTGAACTGTAAATGCTTTGTACCATAAATTCCATGATATTTGTAAGAACATCCAAGTGTTTACTCTGTTGAGAAGTTGAAGAATTGTTTACCTACGTTTTTTACTCGGAGCTAGTTTTATCATGTTTATAATCGAACGATGATAGGAATAAACTTCACAAAATATGGACTATGATGAAAATATTTTCACAATTTCAAGGGAAATTAGAAATTTGAACCATTTTTAAAGTGCTTCCATAATTTATATTGATCAGTATCATTGGTAACTCAACAAATACTCACTCAAATTTAAAAAAAGTTATAAAAAACGCATAAATGCCTCAATACTGATGGCATTATTCAACTTTTCATAAAACTTCAAACTTCAAATACGCCACAGGGGAAGATATGAAGGGAACTTCAGTCCGCGTCTGATCTAAGGGCGGATTAAGCCACATGAGCCAAAGCGGTTCAGCTTGTCACCTGAGTGATAGTGATTTTACTCTATTAAAATGGCATCTATAGGTGTCACTGTGGGCGGATACACTGGTCTTACTAGATGATAAGTGCAAAATTAAACCAACGATCTTTTAAAATAGCATTTCGACCATTGGCGTATGGAGGGGGTGTCACTGTGGGCGGGTCCACCGGTCTTACTAAGTGGTTAAGTGCGAATTAAGCCAACGATTGTTTGGGAGAAGGAGTCCATCATCTTCTCTTCCTATCTTTCCCATTACCTTTCCATTTAGTTTTCTCCTCTTCACTCTTCAAACCTTTCCCCGCCATTCGATCGCGAACATGGGGATTCATTCCCCATGCCCCCCCCCCTCCCGTACCTGGTGCCAGGTAAAAATGTCAGAGGTAAAAATGTCAGAGGAAAAAATGTCAGAGGTAAAAATGTCAGAGGTAAAAATGTCATAGGAAAAAATGTCAGAGGAAAAAATGTCAGAGGTAAAAATGTCAGAGGTAAAAATGTCAGAGGTAAAAATGTCAGAGGTAAAAATGTCAGAGGAAAAAATGTCAGAGGTAAAAATGTCAGCGTACTGCTACTGCATGGGCTAGTCTATTATATTCCTTTCTTCCATAATGTAAATTTTATAAATGGCTGTGTGTTGTATTTCGTACATGTCCCGAGGATAATACAATGTGGAAAATAGATTTTGAAATTTATTTTGTTGTGATCAGGCTTGCATATAATGAATGTCTAACATTTTTTGATATTTTGAATTGGTTGATGTGTTAATGTTTGTGAAACGGACCGGTTTGGCCGGTGGCAGCCTGCAACATAGCCCGTGTAATTCCAGAGACGAACAAAGACCAAACGAAGAAATGAAAATTCTCGACAAAAGTCAAGTGTTAAAGTGAGTAGTGCATTTAGTACAAAATAGTTACATAATCACGAGGAATCACGAAAAGTTACATATAAGGGCTGGGCGCCTCGAACTCTGCTAAAGCTTTTAGCACCTCATGGCGGCAAAGGAAGTGGCCCGGTGGGGTCACTCCCCTGCAAAGAGTGACACGTATGACCGTTACCACCAATGCATATAACCCCCTTTTGCGGTCAAATTCAAGGACATTTTGTGAAATTTAACCCCCTTTTTCATGTCAAAACAAGGACAAAATCGTGCTTTGGAATACCCCTATTTATAAGATTGTAAGGACACTTTCGCAAATTTACCCCTATTTTACCATATTTCAAGGACAGGAGTCGGCTCCGAGAATTTTTCTTCCCGGTTTTCTCTTTTCCCTTCCCGGTTTTCTCTTTTCCCTTTTCCTGACCCCTATTTATCAATTTCGGGGACACCTGTGCACCCCTATTTTCTTTATTTCGAGGAATATTTTGTCCGCGGACATTGCTTGAAATTGACCCCTTTTTCCGCGATTTTGGTAACGATCATGCGGTCCGGAAGTCACATTGAGTGACCCCACCGGGGGAAGTGGAGTAAGAATGAGAAAAAACAAGAAGTCGCCCGAAAAGTAAAAAGTCGCTCCGAAAACTAAAAACCCACTCCAAAAAGTAAAAGACCGTCTCGATTCAGAAGCTCATCCCCATTTTAAACTCTCCGACAATTATAAATAACGATGTAATTTAAACCGAACCTCTGCAAAGCGCGCGCTTCTCTAAAATGGGATGGTGCGGTTGGCATTTAAAGATAAAGTTGAGTTCTGGTCTTGCGATTGCATTGTGAAAGAAACGGTGTGGAAGCAATCAGAAAAGGTTGATCATCTAGCATAAACATGTAAGTATTGGTGTGTAGTGCAAGGTTTTGGAGTCATCAAAATGATAAAATCTTTGGTACACAGAAAGATATTGATATGGGACTACACAAACATATGGCATACATTATTATCGGGCCTCATTTTAAAGCTGTTACTTGTCATATCTGGGATATGAAGTCATATGAAATAGATTTTCAGGGAATAACTTTTTTCTTTGATGTTCTTCCACACTTGCATGATAAGAATGATAACAAACGCTCACACATTATTGTTCACCTTTCCCCAGAACTCAACCTTCTCTTTAATTGATGTAACATGGGCGGCTTGCTGCTTTGTATCGGAGTAACAAAGCTGCTTATTGATTTTTCCCAGACTACTCTATACCGCAATAGTAATCGACAATATTTTATTGCAACGTGAGCACTTCGGGAATGTGATGGTGCGGTTAGCACTGATAACATGGCTTTCTGCTTTGTTTCAGCATGGACCCTACTTTCAGAGTATCAAAATACCAAGCCCACAAGAAAGTGGAATTGTCGGAAATATGCATTTATTGGAAATTACATATAATAGTAGTCATTGCCACGCAGTTGAAATGTCCAACAATCTTCAAAAGTGAAGGAGAAGTGGGGGGGGGGGGTCATAGATATCTGTTCCTATTTTGTGGGCTGTACTGACTTTTCTTTTTATTTAATGATTACACCATGGAGCGACAACTCAGCCTATAAAACATGGCCAAACTTCTCGATTTTAGAAATCTTTTCCCCCAGAAGTTTGCTCAGTGTACCAGTACCATTTGCTTATACAAAAGCATAATATACCGGTATATCAATATTGAATAAGGCAGACTAATGGGACATGCATGGTTACTACTCCGAGTTTCACGCCTCGCAAGCGATCATCAGACAACTGATAGCTTTCGTCAAAGTACATGATTCCTCTACAACCTTGGTACAAATACGCACAAAATAAGAGCTATACAATACAATAAGACTACAATACCTGAATACAATACAATAAGAATACTCATGAGTAATTCCAATTGTATTTTATTAGTTAAGTCTTATTTTAGGGGTATTTGTACCGATTTAAAGGGGAAGTCCACCCTGAAATTAAGTTAGTTTTAATAGGAGTAGAAAAATGAGAGAAACAAGTCAGTGAAAGTTTGAGCAAATTCCGATTAAAAATAAGGAAGTTAGGATTTTTGAAGTTGTGATCAATCAAACACAAATTGGCAACTCTATGACGTATCATGCGAGCTCAACTTCCATTTGCTCAGTACTAAAAAAATCTAAAATTTTCATTTTCCCTCAAGAAAAATTTCAACCATGCATGCACCCTAAATATAATAATTGCAAATATGTTTCTATACTCCCCCTGCAAGGAATAAATATATATTCCGTCATCAATAACGAAGAAAACATGATTTTATGGAATATTATGCACAAAGCAAATGAAGGAGAGCTCGTATAATAAGTCACAGAGTTGCCAATTTGTATTTGATTGATCACAACTTCAATAATTCATAACTTTCTTATTTTCATTCAGAATTTGCTCAAACTTTCACTCACCTGATTTTCTTATTATTCTGCATCTATCGAAACAAACTTATTTTGGGGATGGACTTTCCCTTTAAGGTTGTAGGATAACCATGTACTTTTAAGAATGCTATCAGTTGCCTGATGACAGTGCGTGCAAGGCGCGAAACTCGGAGTAGAAACCATGTCCCATTAGTCTGCCTGCTCTGCCTAGGCATTGACCACTGTTCGGAAGGATATATAGCAAAGCATATAAGAGGAAGGGGGAGAGCAGCCGGGTTACCGTGCCCCAGAAGAAGAATACCCCCCCCCCCCCCCCCGTCTTCCTTCGACAATAATCGAGCAAAAAGTCACATTTTGGGGCCGAAAGGTAAATAAATTTAAACTGGGAAAGTGGAGAATAAAGCAGCGGTGAAATAACGACTGCAGAATATCCCTCGCTGTTCTTTTTCGATAAGCCTAATATATAACCCGGGTGTAACCATAACAAACTTGTCACATGCTTTTGTTTTTATTCTATACCTCTAACATTTATACCTCTGACATTTTTACCTCTGACATTTTTACCTCTGACATTTTTACCTCTGACATTTTTACCTCTGACATTTTTACCTCTGACATTTTTACCTCTGACATTTTTTCCTCTGACATTTTTACACCGAGCCCCGTACCTAGGCCATGGATTTTGACAAACGCGGATAAGGTTATGAAAAGAAATAATGACAATGACTTCGACTACTAATAAACAGCACAACGAGGTACGTTGGCTGAATCTAACTTGTACAAAATACAATTTGTAAAAGATATCTTTACATCAAATGATGATCATTCGAATCGTTACGTTTTAATTGGTAACACGAAGCATGACTTGTGTCTTTCACTTCGTTTCAGAACTTGTGATAACAGAACCGAATACCTAGTGACATGATGAAGCGTCTATAGAGTTTGAGGTCACGTCCAAAAATATTTGTAATACCAACAAAAATCAGCTTTTATTTCCCATATAAAGTGAATGACTTACCTGCTGGTCATCGCGTTATATACTGGTACTACAAGTTTCTGTTGTCGTCTTAATACGAGCTCACAATGTAATATGGGAAATACTATCCTTAGCGAACTGCACCCACGTTTCTATGGAGCGCCAAAGGGGCCAATATCAACAGTCACAAAAACAAACAAAGATGCATACAAACAAACAAAGAAGCATACAAACAAACAAAGGACAGAGCAAAATAGACAAAGTACCCAGAAGAAAGGACCAATTAACAAAGAATAAATCAAAGGTCAGAGCAAAATAGACAAAGTACAGGTCAGAAGAAACAGAGGGCGTTTTGGTTTACGGTAAGCAAATAGACATCAGGCACGAAAACGAGAAAGGACAAACTCAAAAGGACATCACCTCAGCTACGAAGTGACCCTCAAAGGACAACAGAGGGCGTTTTGGTTTACGGTAAGCAAATAGACATCAAGCACGAAAACGAGAAAGGACAAACTCAAAAGGACATCAGCTCAGCTACGAAGTGACCCTCAAAGGACAACAGAGGGCGTTTCGGTTTACGGTAAGCAAATAGACATCAAGCACGAAAACGAGAAAGGACAAACTCAAAAGGACATCAGCTCAGCTACGAAGTGACCCTCAAAGGACAACAGAGGGCGTTTTGGTTTACGGTAAGCAAATAGACATCAAGCACGAAAACGAGAAAGGACAAACTCAAAAGGACATCAGCTCAGCTACGAAGTGACCCTCAAAGGACAACAGAGGGCGTCCTCGAGATTTTTTCTTTTTAATCTAGGGCCTACTCCAATATAATACGCTGTAGGTCAATACAACAAATATGGGCTTTCATCGAAAGGGTGCGGTGCGGTGCGGCGCGGTGTGGTGTGCTCAACGCACCCATTCGATAAAAGAGGGGGGCCTTTTCTCGAAAGGGTGCGTTGAGAGCGGAGTACCATTTTAACACACCCTTTCGATGAAAGCGGGGGGGAGGGGGGGGGGGCTTTTCTCGAAAGGGTGCGTCGACTAGTCTTTCGCATCAGTCGTTTAAAATGAGGATCTCGGACAGAAGGTAATAGTTGCCAATTTAAGTATATCGAAAATGTATTAAGTGAAATGGAATGGTCTTGATTACAGAGTGGTCTCTTTGATGGGGGAGACAGAGAGAAGGAAAAAAGGGAAAGGGAAGATAAAAGGAAAGAAAGAAGAATAAGAAGAGAAGAGGGAATAAGGTGGGGGCGAAGGACTCTTGCCCCCCCCCCCCCCGCCAAAAAATAAATCAGAGAGAGAGAGAGAAAGAGAAGGGAAAGGGAAAGATGATAAAAGGAAAGAAAGAAGAAGAAGAAGAAAAGAGGTAAACGGGGGCAAAGGGCTTTTGCCTCTCCCCCCCCCCCCCCCCGCCAACAAATAAATAGGAGAGAGAGAGAAGGGAAAGGGAAAAGGAAAGAGAAGATAAAAGGAAAGAAAGAAGCATAAGAAGAAAAGAGGGAAAGGGGGCGAAGGGCTCTTGCCAACAAAATAAATAAGAGAGAGAGAGAAGGGAAAGGGAAAGAGGAGATAAAAGGAAAGAAAGAAGAGGAAGAAGAAGAAGAAAAGAGGGAAACGGGGGCGAAGGGCTCTTGCCCTCCCCCCCCCCCCCCCCGCCAAAAATAAATAAGAGAGAGAGAAGGGAGAGGGAAAGAAAATATAAGAGGAAAGTAAGAAGAGGAATAAGAAGGAAAGAGGGAAACGGGGGAAGGGCGAAGGGCTCTTGCCCCCCCCCCCCTGCCAACAAAATAAATAAGAGAGAGAAAGAGAGTGAAGGGAAAGGGAAAGAAAATATAAAAGGAAAGAAAGAAGAGGAAAAAGAATAAGAAAAGAGGGAAACAGGGGCGAAGTGCTCTTGCCTCCTCCCTCCCCCCCCCCCCCCGCCAAAAAATAAATAAGAGAGAGAGAGAGAATCTGTTCTGATCCTGGTCCTGATCCTCAAGAGGGATATAAAGATGACCAATAAGAACGTTATCGTTCGAGAGAGAGTGTTTGTTGCTTCTAGAACATTTTAGAATTAAGTCCCATCACATTGCAGTTGTGGGGAGGGACTATGATTATACCCCCTTGGATGGCTTCCCATAAGAGTCCGGCTTTGAAGGTTTCGACTGCGTCGCAGGCAAAGATGCTGGGGGGGGGGGGAAAGTAAATTCCAGGCCCTTATGGTTCTTGGAAAGAAGGTGAGTCGATATATGTCCGTCTTGCATCTTATGTTGGAGAAGGAGAGGGAAAGAGAAGATAAAAGGAAAGAAAGAAGAGGAAGAGGAAGAAGAATTTGTGTTCTGCCAGTGTCACAAATAGATATATAAATATGCTCATCTGACGATAATTTGATGTATAAAACCCCTCACCTTCTTGGGGCTCCGCCCCTTGGATCCAACACCAATTTGTGTCCTTCCAGTGTCACAAATAGATATAAAAATATGCTCATCTGACCGTTATTTATTGCCCAAAACCCCTGAGCTTCTGGGTGCTCCACCCCCTGGACCCCACGCCAATTGGTGACCCCTGTGTCACAAATAAGGTATAAAATAATAATTATTTAATGGACAAAACTCCTGAGCTTCTGGGGGCTCCGCCCCCTGGACCCAACACCAAATTGTGTCCTGCCACTGTCACAAATAAGGTATAAAATTATGCTCATCCGACGTTAATTTTGATGTTTAATACCCCTGAGCTTCTGAGGGCTCCGCCCTGTGAAAAAAACGTGTAAAAAAAACACGTTAATTTTTACCGTTTTTGGGAGATACCCCCCCCCCTGGCGTTCAAGGGGGGGGGGGAGTACGATTTTTCAAATTTTTGAGGGCCCCAAAAAAGATTAGTGCTTTCTAGTAATTTCGCGACTACTCCGGAACCGCGGCAGTTTTTCTTTCATGACTTTTTTCTTTCGAGTCTTACGCATCTTTTGAAACATTTTTTGTTGAAAATCGGACGTATAATTGCGGAGTCACGTGACCTTTTGTTTTTGCATGTCAAAAAAATCTAAAATCGCTCATTTTTGTGATTTATGTACCAAACATATGGAAATACCATTTATTCTTTTAAAAAAAGAGAAAACATTGGTTATTTGGTCTTGTTTCAAGTAAATTTGTTTGATTTTGGGTAAAAATAGTTGAATTGTGGTTAGAAATGAAATGAAATAACAAAATAATATAATACATAAATTCAAATAATCAAAAGAGATAACATAGGGATAAACTGGCTCTTCCAACTTTGTTGTCGTATTATTATTCTAACGAATATATGAAGTGAAAAAGAACGCTCGAATATGAATTATATATGATTTATGGGTAAAAATGTGAATTCTCTGACCTTGTTTGCATAAATTACCATAAATATGCATTTTCGCGGCGATCGGCTGTGAAACGGCCGAGATCTTAGGAGGACCCCCCCCCCCCCACCCTCAAGTCCACTCCAATCACATTGAAAAAAAGTATGACTTAAATCATCTCTCTCATCATTATACCGCTATAGTATTCATGTTTTTAATATTATTTATTTTCCATTAAACAAGTTCATAGAGAAAATACTTATCTCTCTGCAACATTAAAAAAGAATCTTCATTAATATGTCTTAATTTGTATTGATAGCCTTGTGGTCGCCAACAGTGGCGAAGGCAGGGGCGTCTCCAAAGGGGGTGTGGGGGTGCGACACCCCCCCCCCCCCACCTGTCAGGATATTGTCGGTAAAATTGCGCTTCCGTCGGGAAAAAGAGAAAAGGGGGAGGGGGAAAAAGAGAGTAAAAGGGAAAGAAAAGAAAAAAGAAAAAGAAAAGAAAAAAAGAAAAGAAAGGAAAGAATAGAGAAGAAAGAAAAGAAAGAAAGAGAAAAACAAAAAAGCGGGAGAATAGGAAAGAAAGGAGGCAAGAGCCCTTTGCCCCCGTTACCCTCTTTTCTTCTTCTTCCTCTTCTTTCTTTCCTTTTATCTTCTCTTTCCCTTTCCCTTCTCTCTCTCTCTTATTTATTTTTTTTGGCGGGGGGGGGGGAGGAGGGGAAGAAGGGCTAGGAGGCAAGAGCCCTTCGCCTCCGTTTCCTTCTTTTTCCTCTTCTTTCTTTCCTTTTATCTTCTCTTTCCCTTTCCCTTTCCCTTCTCTCTCTTACTTATCTTTTGGCAGGGGGAGGAGGAGGAGGCAAGAGCCCCTCTTTTCTTCATATTCTTCTTCCTTTCCTTTTTTATTCTCTTTCCCTTTCCCTTTCCCTTCTCTCTTTCTCTCTTATTTATTTTTTGGCGGGGGGGGGAGGCAAGAGCCTTTCGCCCCCGTTTCCCTCTTTTCTTCTTCTTCTTCCTCTTCTTTCTTTCCTTTTATCTTCCCTTTCCCTTTTTTCCTTCTCTCTGTCTCCCCCATCAAAGAGACCACTCTGTAATCAAGACCATTCCATTTCACTTAATACATTTTCGATATACTTAAATTGGCAACTATTACCTTCTGTCCGAGATCCTCATTTTAAACGACTGATGCGAAAGACTAGTCGACGCACCCTTTCGAGAAAAGCCCCCCCCCCCCTCCCCCCCGCTTTCATCGAAAGGGTGTGTTAAAATGGTACTCCGCTTTCAACGCATCCTTTCGAGAAAAGGCCCCCCTCTTTTATCGAATGGGTGCGTTGAGCACACCACACCGCGCCGCACCGCACCGCACCCTTTCGATGAAAGCCCATATTTGTTGTATTGACCTACAGCGTATTATATTGGAGTAGGCCCTAGATTAAAAAGAAAAAAACCTCGAGGACGCCCTCTGTTGTCCTTTGAGGGTCACTTCGTAGCTGAGCTGATGTCCTTTTGAGTTTGTCCTTTCTCGTTTTCGTGCTTGATGTCTATTTGCTTACCGTAAACCAAAACGCCCTCTGTTGTCCTTTGAGGGTCACTTCGTAGCTGAGCTGATGTCCTTTTGAGTTTGTCCTTTCTCGTTTTCGTGCTTGATGTCTATTTGCTTACCGTAAACCAAAACGCCCTCTGTTGTCCTTTGAGGGTCACTTCGTAGCTGAGGTGATGTCCTTTTGAGTTTGTCCTTTCTCGTTTTCGTGCCTGATGTCTATTTGCTTACCGTAAACCAAAACGCCCTCTGTTTCTTCTGACCTGTACTTTGTCTATTTTGCTCTGACCTTTGATTTATTCTTTGTTAATTGGTCCTTTCTTCTGGGTACTTTGTCTATTTTGCTCTGTCCTTTGTTTGTTTGTATGCTTCTTTGTTTGTTTGTATGCATCTTTGTTTGTTTTTGTGACTGTTGATATTGGCCCCTTTGGCGCTCCATACGTTTCGCACTAAAAGTTAGCCTTTTCATCGTTCAGCAAGAGTGAGCACATCAATGGGTCGAAGTTAAATGGACAAGATAAAATAATATATTATTGACTGGAAGGTATATTTGGAGTACGTGGCGCCAGGTGACTACAGGTTTGAGACACTATGAATATGACGGACAAAGAAAGAGGACAAAATATACAGTTCCTCAGGTAGACAAAGAACATTCCTTCACAGCTATTATGTAAAATTGTGTAAAACAGGCGAATATGCATGTGACACCTGTTTTACACATATTTACATAATAGCAGTGAAAGTATGTTCCTTTATCTACCTGAGGAACTGTATATTTTGTCCTCTTTCTTTGTCCGTAATGTTCATAGTGAGAAGAGAAGGAAAAGGAATGAAAAGAAAAAAAAGGGAAGAACAAGAAGAAAAATAGAAGAGGGGTAGTGGGGGTGCCGTTGTATAGTGGTTCATTCACTTGACTCTCAATCCAAAGGTTGAGGGTTCAAATCCCAGCCCGGCACTAACATCCTTTGGCAAGACGTTGATCCGCATTTACACCCAGGTGTAAATGATTACTTGGCGATTGCTCGGGTACTAATAATTACAGGGCCTGCATAAAAGAGCGGCTAGCCTGAAAAAACAAGACAACATTTGTTTTAATTAAGAAGAAGAAGAAGAAGTAGAAGAAGAAGAAGAAGAAGAAGACTTTTTTTGAAAGTAAAACTTTATTTACAATACATATAATAATTAAAACAGATAAAAAAATAACAGTGATGCACTTAATATAATAAGTGTTTGTGAATCATATACCAATAATCAACAACAAGTAGTACGTAATACATGAGAAAGTAACCATTAAACAATTCATAAAAAAAACAATAATTTCGACGGTAGAAATTGAGAAAAAACATAAATTGTACTAAACACTGATTACAAATGATTACACATCCATAGAGTGTTTCAAAACGATTAAATTATGGGAATTCATAACTTCCAACTATGAGCTTCTTCTCAAGACAAACTTATCACAAACAACAATTAAATCAACCATGTGAGATCAATATCATCTGAAAGAAAGAGTACATTATTGTACGACCATATCTTATGAAATAACACCAAATTGTTTTGTAATTTGTGAAATTCATAATCAAGAATGACTCTGTTCTTGATTCTAAGTTTCCAAAAAGGAAGTGGATCAAGAAAACGAGAGGTACGATAAAGCCAATATAATGTGCTTTTAAGAATGCCAATAAAAAAGTTGGATAGGCGCACGGCCTCCCTGTTACGACCTCTTGCATGTGGAACCAGAGTCCAGTAGAGGTCAAAGTCAATGTTTACTTCGGGTAGAAGACTTGACAGAAGATGATGAAGAAGATCCAAGGCCGGTTGTATAGAAGTACACTCGATAAAGAGGTGTAGAATAGTTCCCTTCTTGCCACACCATCCACATGAAGAGGAGATATCGGGATTAAGATGATGAAGAACGGCAAGGGACGGAAGAACATTGTGTAATAGTTTGTACTGAGTGTCCCCATCTTTCTTAGATGATGGATAGCAGTAGATTTCAGTCCAGTTGATTAGTTTAGAAGGGGAAAGTAACCCAGCCTCGTGCCAATGAGTAACTTGAGCTCTAGGAAGAAAGTTAATAGCACGGTTGAAGATTCGATATATCGATTTAGTCGGCGTGGCAAGAATGTTCTTGTTGTCTTTAGTTATGATCGAGAACGGAGAGGTAACAGGTTCAGTCAGATTATGAAGATAAGCTGAAGCTGCTGACAGTCTTAGTCCGCTGTTCGAAAAGAATCTAGGAAACAAACCGGAAATCTCTTTGTGAAGTCGAGAGAGGTCAAGTTCCAAAAGGCGTAAAGACGGACGCTGCAAAGTGGAGGCAATGACGACCTCGTCTGCTCGGAGCCAGGTACCGTTGTTCGGGTTTACAAGATGCTTGACGAGTTTGATTCCACATGCAAATAGTCTAACAGGGAAGATCTTGTCGCCATCCAGTGTAAATTGAAAAAATTTATAATAATTCAAGGAAATGTTTAACACATGGTTGACAGTAAAGGACGATGTCTCGACGCTTGCTCCAGAGGTAAGAAGAATATGAAGAAGAATGAAATAGGTCGCATTGCAACTAAACAAATTAAAATATGACCACATTCATTTCACGAATCGTCTGGGGCCGTATTCTGAAAAAGATGTAATCTTTTATGTTAGCGAAAATGATGTTATTTGTTATATCAAACTAAAAATGAAAGGCAACGTCGTTTTCATGATAGCGCCCCTCATTTATTGTCGTTCATGTACGAATACGTGACAGAGGCGTAGCAAATGTTCAGCTGAGAGGTCATTGGTATCATGGGGGGGGGGCACAGCACTAATTAAGTGTTTAATAAAGTTCGATCGTACAAGGCCGTCGAGTGATGGGGTGTGGAAGGTGTCGTACTGAGTTCATGCCACGTTACCTTCCCCTCTCCCTTTCTCTTTCTTTCTCTCTCTCTCTCTCTTTCTTTCTCTCTCTCGCTCTCTCTCTCTATCCGCTTCCCTGTTCCTTCACCTTTTTTCTTCATTTCCAGATTGGAGGGAACATGCCCCCTCCCCTCGTGCCTATTGACCACACGATATCAGCAGATATGCAGTGGACTAGTTGCGAATTAGACAAGTCAGTATGCCTTTCGCGGGAATCCATGCAACATTATTTTGATAGAGGCGCGCTTTATTAAATCTTTACTCTTACCCCCGCGACGAAGGCCAATACGAAGAGCGTGATGGCGAGAAGGTAGGAGGTCTTGTGTGTTATTAGAAGTTTCATTTTAGGTTAAGATGAGATTTTGAAATGATATAAATTTATGTTAATCTGATATGTTTTTTTAATTGTAATTGTATTTGTTTTTAGAATATATAGTTGTGTCACGCATGTCGGTATGTACGTCATAGTGTAGATAAATATTATATGGTTGTTATATGGTTTTTGTTTACCTCTTTTCATGAAGTGATTGTGGGAATGCGATTTAATCTTGATTGATAAATTTATCATGTTGTTATTACTCTACACACTAAAAACCTATAGGGTGCAATTTTGCAGACTTGCACCCTTAGAGGTGCAAAAGAGCACCATTAGGGGTGCAAACGAGCACCCTTAGGGGTGCAGACCGCTGCTACAATAGCAGCCATGTATTGCAGACTTGCACCCTATAGGTGGCTGCTATTGTAGCAGCGATCTGCACCCCAAATGTACCCCTATTTCTTAGTGTGTATGTGTCAATCTAAAGAAAATCATAAAGACGATCAATAAACTTCTGAAATGTTATATTTGTATTGTTGCTTGTATACCTATTTAATGCTAATTTGCAGTATGCTTTTTTTCAATACCAGAAAACAGATTGAATATCAGGTTTTAGGACATCGGGTGAATTGATATGTACAAGGGAGTTCCTGGTTAAAAATATGAAAAGGGGAAATAACATATACTCATTATGAACATATTATGATAATTACTTACCCAAACACCCATGAACGGAAGTTTTACATAACCAATTACATCGGGGATTAATTACACGAGAATGTATTAAAAACGTATAGGTTTATATCTTAATCATTTACTATACTGTAGAAAGTGCTACTGCCCATGATACCGATGACGTCACACTGGCCCTGGAGTTTTCAGATGCATATATTTTTTTGGTATTTTTTAAGTGCGTGCCGAATGAATCGGACCCACTGAATTAAAAAAAATGAATAGATAAATAGAAAGATACACTAATTAACGAATAAATGAATGAATAAGTAAATTATGATAATAATAATAATAATAGTTCAGTTCTTGTATAGCGCATAATACGTTATGAAGTAACATCTCTATGCGCTTCCAAAGAGCTTTGGACTTTATTACCCTACCTTAAGCTCCGGCAGCCTTATCAGCCCACAGTGCATTTCAAGGAATAATCCTACCAGGTACCCATTTACCTCACCTGGGTTGAGTGTGGCAATTGTAGATCAATCAATGTCTTGCCAAAGGACATTAGTGCCGCGGCGGGACTCAAACCGCGTACCTTGTGATCGACAGTCCGGTGACGTATCCACTCGACCACAACACCTCTAGATAGTAATCCTATTTTATTTTACCAACTTAATGATTAAAATTTGTGCTCTGATTGAATTGAAGTAAACAAATGGCCGTCATCCCTCGAATAATTTTGCTACCATACATAAACATTACATATTAAAATCCGTTTTAGAAAGTGTTCCCATATTAATATATGGTTCAGTATATTGATGAGTATTACATGTATTGTTTACTCAACAAATAAAAGAACTTTTAAAACTTTAATGTCGTATTACCATAGATACAAAGCTAAGAGCTTTACAATTGACATCATTAACGATTTGATCCCTACAAAAGTTTGGCTTTTCCGAATTCACAAATTTACAGATGCAGAGTATTCCCTTTGACTTTGTATGAAACGTCACCCAAAACCTTGGTACACCTTTGCTTTTCCTGTCATGTCATTAACAAATTTTGGAACGACCTTAGCACCCTCTTTGCAGGATTTGAGCTTTCATCCTTTTAGAAGAAAAAATGCATGTTCTCTGTGGTATTTATGAGCCTCGTAAGTCTAGAAATATCTATCTCTCGAATGTTCTGCTGCTGTTAGGTAAACAATATATTCTTAGGTGTCGGTGCGGCGTTACAGAGCCTACTCCCAGTCACTTTTGTAATTTTCATTTGTCGTTCAAATCTGTCGAACATTACATTGCACAAAGAAAAAACAAATAAGTCATCCATGCTGCCAAGTGGACAAGCATGTTTAATATAATGGAGGGTCAGTAGGAATGAGAGATAGCGTTTAATATTTTTCTTTTATTTAACCAGGTGCCTGCTCTTTGTATAATTTTTCTTTTCTGATGAGCATTGCCTATCTCTGGTTGTCTCTTGTAAGCTTTTGAAATCTCTTTATACCAGCAATCGCCAACTATATTCATTTGATTGTTTTTGCTTGTATGTATGATTGTGTACATCTCACGTCATTTATATTTTGTTATATAATCCACCATAATTTGGGTTGATACTAGGTGATGTTTAATTTGAAATGAAAGGATCAACAATAAAAGAAATACAAACAAGAATTATTTTTTATTCGACAAACTTTGATGCTTTTAGACATAAAGAGTCAAAAGTGCAAACAATAATATTTTCGTTCTGATGGCATTACTCGGAACAGCTTTCGTATTGTACTACGTATAAAACTTTTACAAAATCCATTGTCCCATCTAATAACGCTAGAGAGGAAGTAATGAAGGGCATTAATTTCGATTACCAGAGGATTCATGAGAACGGAAATGTTGATCTCATGAACTATAAAGTCACAGGAGTGTCCAATGTAAAAAATAACAATGCCTCCTTTTGATTGTGAAAACAATCCCAACCCCTACTTATATCACCTTCCGATAACCTTCGATTGTTTTACATTTGCCTTGCATCCGGATGCGTGCCTTCTTGTAAGTTCGTTCCTCGGCACTTATAAATAATGTTTTTGAACTTTTCAACTTCATCCTAGTTATCAGTTAAAACAAACTACATTTTACTTTGCCCTTGCTTAATTTATTTACAAAACATCGCAAATACTGCAGTGTGTCGAACCCGCTCCCCAAATGCGACAGTAAATGCAAAATAATGTACAGTCAACGGGGTCAGAAGAAACATTTCAGAACACAACTCTAAGTCTGTTGAGTTCAACTAATATACTTTAACATGCTGTTAACGCCCTTCTAGTTCTTAGTAAATACATCGAACTATATCTTAGGCATGTTAGGTGACGCGGCATTTGCTCCTACGACAACAATATTTATTATTGTTCCGTGCTTTATTTCTTAATTCAAGGGTTCTCATCCAATACTGAATTCCTAACTTCTACCCAGGACCCAACACATGCCTACCCAATCCCAACTCCAAACCTGACCTAAAACTCAATTGCAACCCTAACCTTAACCCTAGACTTTAAACTACATAAAAGCCCGGAGCTCCCTTTGAGAGTTGTTTTGAAATCAATATACTTTCTTCTACAGCAACAGTCAGGACGTTGTCAATGTGACCGAAGTGGAAGGTTCAGATTCGAGTGGCAGTAAGGTATTCATCCCTCGACACATCGGTCTGCTTGGTGTCATCTCTCATACGGTAAGGATTCATTGAGCCAACACTTCTTCCTTTTGCAATATTCTATCTCTTCTACTCAGTTGTCACTTTTAACATTCTACCATTTCCTCCTTTCGTTGTCAAGTATGTCACATTTTATCCCTATCCTTTTTTTTAAATTTATGTTTAATAATGCAACGAAAAGTATTCCTCCTCTTCGTAAAAAGCAATTACTATGTTTTGAATACGATTGTCACGCCATCAAGCTTCGTATAAGTGTCAATCCTTTTTTATGTTTCATTTCTATAAACAGATACAGTTATTACTTTTCCTTATTACAGTTGTAACACCCTAATTATTATTTGTTATAGGCATATTCTGTTGGAATCAGTTTGTTAAAAGTAAACTTGGTAAACGACCATGTCTTCCTATGTTTTGATTTGATTTGTTCCAGTTCAAGTGCCAATTGACACTTATCAAGCCTTTGCCTCATGAGTGTATTGGCCTACTTCTCCTCTGCCCCTACTTCCTCCAGAAAAGGAAAGAGAGGTCATGATTAAAGGATATTATCTAAGTATCTTTGATTCGTCCGGTGCTAAGTTCAAATTGAAGTAGATCATGGTACATGTATTCATATGAAACAGAGAGCTGAAGACGTGCAAGGACGTGCAAGAGATTGATTAGCCCCGAATAATGTTAAAGTTTATTATTTTAAAGTTTACATCTAAAGGTATTCAACAAAGGCCCTAATTCAACCAGTTCACATTTCATTCTTGAGATACGAAAAAAAAACATCCAACTTACAAGGGGTACAAATAATTAAGTTGATAAGTGTTTGTTGTTTAGTTATTTAGATAAATCCTCCGCTAACTTGGTCTTCACAACTCATAAACACGGGTAGATCTTGCATTCATGGTGTGTAGTTTTAAGGGTAGGGGTGAGGAGGAGGAGTAGGGGGAGGGGAGGAGTAATGAGAGGAGGAGGATGAGGAAAAGGAGGAGGAGGAGGGGGAGGAGGGGGAGGAGGAGGATGCAGATAATGTACTGATGAAGAAGGGGATTTAGTAGCTGTTTTTGTTATTATTTTTGTCTCTGTTTTCGTTCTTGTTCTTGATGACGATATCATGATAATGATGATGATGATGATGATGATGATGAAGATGATGATGATGATGATGATAATGATGATGATAATGATGATGATGATGATGATGATGATGATGATTCTGCTGCTGGCGATGATGAAAGACAAAATGATGACGTCCGACGTCCGCACCCCACCCCACGCACGCCAGCTATTCTCCACTCCTGACGACGGATAGTCAACCTGTTCTAAACGTCGAGCCACTCCCGCCACTCATCCTCTCCAAGCGCTATAGTTCTCCTTAGAACTATAAGCTAAGAAAGATAACCAACAGTCTTTTTCAAGACTATACCAACAGTCCTTTTCAGAACTACAAACCCTCAAGAAAGATTACCGAGAGTCCTGTTCAGGACTCCTCAATCCTCCCTCTCTCTTACATGGTGCACCCGCAAGCCTACTGTATCAAATGATGATGGTGATGATACTCATTTTCAAGATGATAATCAGTAAAATGTTGAAAACTTGCGGTCTTTATCCATGACATACATGTATATATACCTACAAAAGAAAGCGAGACTTTATTTACAACCTCCCCCCCCCCCCCCCCGCCCCATCCCCCTTCCTATCTTGCAGATCGCGACCGTTGTTGGAACAGGTATCTTCATCTCTCCTAAGGGTGTCTTGCAGGGAGCAGGCGGATCAGTCGGTCTTGCTCTCATCTTCTGGGTGATATGCGGTGTCATCCAAACATGTGGCTGCTTCATCTACTCAGAACTGGCGCTAATGTTTCGCAAATCAGGAGGTAACAGAATTATATATTATGCCATGAGAACACGATCGCAAAGACGAATATGCGAACATTGCAATGACCTCTTACGTAATCCGAACATGATTTCAATTGGATATTCAAAAGGAAAATGGTATTTTAATTGCCCTTGAGTTGATATCTTTCGAAAGACTTAAAGATCGTCATTATTCCAAGGAATTTTGTCATTCGGTGTCCCATAGGTAACAAAGTATTGCGGAGTTCTGAACATGAATGGAAATAAAAGTGTCATAATTTGGTCCGATCTAAACTCTCAATTTTAAGCAACCCCTCCCCCCCCCCCCCCCCCCCGAAAAAATGTATCCATGGCAGTGGGTGTCTGAGGTTGCTAAAATGGCTTCAAAATAAGGTGGCCCCAGTATTTCACACACAAAAGGGGGGTATCTTAGTTTTGCCTCACTGTGTATAAATATAATGGATACGCCATGATTGTCTATGCGTTGGTATTCTTTAAAGGTGAATTCACATTCATGTTAGAGGGATGGGGAAGGACTGCTGGCTTCTTGAAGCTCTGGACCATTGTGACTGTGAACTCGGCATCGATGGCAATCCAGGCTCAAGTCGTGTCTCAGTATCTCCTTACTCCAATTCTTCAGTGCGTCAGTCCACCACTCATCAGCTTGCGATTCATCAGTTTTTGCGCCGTCCGTAAGTATAATACCGAATGTCCGTTGTAACATACGAGTCGGCATTAAAATGTTGCTTACGCGGGACTGCGTCAGCGACTGGTGTGGTCTTTGACGCACGAAGTGAGGCGCAGCGACTCAGTGGTAGAGCAGTGGTCTCATAAGTGGGAGGTACTTTGATAAGGCATCAATCCTTATTATCAAGTCTCTCGGAGAGGACTTAAAGCTGTCGGTCCCCCGGTTGCTTACTATTACAAGCATACACATGCTTTCTTAGCAGGTAAAACAAACAATCCACCAACCAACCAAGAGTGACGCATAATTCATGCCTATGTCAAACACAGCATCAATTGCCTGACGGAGGGCTGCGCCAACGGATGCATCGGTCATTGATGTTTCATGTAAGATATCGCGATGTCTGATATCGTACACAAAAATAAGTGCAAAATTAGCAGTTGAGATATGGCTTCGGATTACTGGCGTATGCGCTAATTGCCCCAAAGTTTTGATTAGCGTAGGTACTAAAGCAATCAACAGGTATTAGTGCCCTACATCTTTCATTTTTTGAACGAAAAATGGCATTGTACTGTTTGCACTGTTGATCGTTGCATGAATTATTCTACATAATTAAATTAATGAGCGTTGCGAGATGAGGTAAGATGAATAGTGCAATTAAAATATTTTTTCTTAATTCGTCATTACATAATTTTGTTATAATAAATTATATGACTTGCCCAAGAGTATTATAAATTCACATATACTACGATGTACAAATCTCTTAGTTTCCATTTCTCTTTTTGAGTATTTGCAATTCATCATTGTACAATTTGCAGTTTTTATGTTATTCGTCAACTGTGTCAGCGCCAAATTACCGACTCGCATCGCCGGCTTCTTTACAATGACGAAGACCTTTGGACTCCTGGTGGTTATTGTTTCTGGCATCTATAATCTCACTCAGGGTAGGTCTTCATACTTTTACGTCCCTGGATCCAGAGGGGGGGGGGTAGTTTGTAGACACAAACCCTTGCCAGTCGCTTTGCATAACAGTGTGTCTGCACTGTGAGACTAGAGTACCGAAGCTATGACATCATACAAGTTTATTTTTAGAATTTCTCAACTTTAACTCCTTTTTCCGAAAGAGCATCAATAGAATAATTGAAAACCAATTGAATATGTTAAGTATTGGCTGAGATATGACCATCTGAATAAATAGGTTCTATAGGAACTCAGTGTTATTTTGCTCTGGCTCGTAAAGTTATGAACCAGAGCAAAATACTGATCCTATAGGAAATCTATATTTCAGCCAATACTTAACATATTCGATTTCCAGCATCCAGCATCTGGACATTATTTTTGTTGCTCTTTCGGAAAATGAAGTTAAAATTGAGAAATTCTAAAAAATAGTTTTTTGATGACTTCACACTTCACCACTCTGTAATTAAGCTACCTATTTGACACAGCCAGACATAGAATTGACAGAGCTAGGCTATACTCTGTGGCTGATGGCAATATGGGGTCACTAGGCTGGATGGATGTGACTCCCCACCCATTTCCCTCATTCACTCAGAATGTCCTGTCGGCAAAAAATGTAGGGTTGTCGACAAATTAGTAAATTTTCGTTTGTTGGAAAAAAAACTGGGGGAACATTTCCAGGGTTTATCTAACTAACAGATTTGCCCTCATTGACAATTTTTGATTAATAAAATTAAGGACATTTTGATGTTAGTTATTTGCTGTTGCTTTTTAATGGAACATTTTCCACCCTTCTTACCTCACCATTCATATCATCATTATTATGAAGGGGGAATATAATTAAAAAAATAAGTTTGGAGTAAGGTTAAGTGCTGCCCAGTTGCCAGAAATAAATATATGTATATAGCATTTCCAAAATCATTGGTCACCAATCATTGGACATTGTAGCAATGGAAGAAAATAATTTGATAAACGTTTGCGTTTTTATTTATTTGGGAGAGAGAGAGAGAGAGAGAGAGAGGGGGGGAGAGGGGGAGAGAAAGAGCAATGTTTCGACAATTGTCTTAATGTAATCAAATCTTTGTTAAGTGCCTCTTTATAAAGCATTTCATTCATTTGTTGTGAATAATTGTATTTCAACGTCCGAATGCGAATTGCATACATTTCATGTTGTTAGGTAGGACAAGCCATTAATGTTTGTCCAATCCAGCAATAATTATTAATGTATGCAAATCGTATTCTGACTTTTGAACTTCAATTATTCAAACAGGTGAATTAATTAATTCATAACGAGGCACTAAACAAAGATTTGTGCATTAGATTTAATTACATTACGACAATGGTCTATTTGGAATGTTATACCTAAACTCATTTAGGAACTAGTGTAATTTGCAGTGGAGGAATGCAAGATTAATTAACATGATAACACAAATATTGATAACTATAATCATCAGTTACTAGGTATGTACAGTTTTTAATATGAACATACTTAATGCCTCCTCGAACGTTGTTGCGCTGAAGATTTTATTCACATATTTTGATTTCTTTCGTCTCATAATGCAGGTCGGACCACTTACCTACAGAATGCGTTTGAAACTAGCAATCTGGACGTCACGACGATACCTCTAGCTGTTTATTCGGGAATGTTCGCCTTTGGTGGATGGTAATCACATTATTGTCTTTTTCAAAAGCAAGAAGGGCGTTAATTCTGTGTAAAATGATATGAGTTACTGCCCTTCTGTCTCCAAATAGAGGATATATTATGTCGTATCTATGATATCTAGTATAAACATTTGATTAACCTTTTGCTTGCATCGTGTGATATTCTAACCAATTAATGGCTAGTAAGCACAAGCCAATTCTCTTGCCGGCGTTTGCTTCTCCAGACGAGTAAAAGGTTACATTTCAATTCAAATTTCAATCAGAACATGCATATTTTTTTTTTTCGCGTACATTCAAATTTGCCGAAATAGTAAATGCTTGTTTTGAACAAGAGCATATATTTGTTTTCATATTCGGCCCATTAACATTTACGTAGATTTTTGTTTGAAGCTGCAAGCAAAATATGAGAAAAGGCATTTACTAGTTTTATAGATACGACCCATAATCAATACTACTTACAAGATTTCATTACATAATGTTTGCCATGGTGAATGGTAGTCCAGTATATTATACTAATTAAGAGATAATTATATAATTTAATTTATTCTTGCCTAGCAATTAGAAGTCGATAGATGTTGTGGTTGTCATGCCGAAGCAATATAGCAGAAATTAATAGTAAGGGACTATTCCCAAGGCAATATGCTCGAATCCATTCGTATAACAAAGTAGAAAATATTCTTGATATTTGGGTATTTTATGTTTTTTATAATTTTGGTAGAGTATTCATTTTTATTTAATTTGATAGATATTTCATTGACGTTTTAGATTTTTCAAAATTTGAAGAAGAAAAATATAAACAACTGTCTAATTTTGCTGAGTGTATGAAATATAATGATAGAACAGAAAATGAAATATATAATGTAGTATAGTATATACATAAACATAATACAAATACAAATACAAATATAGTAAAGCATATTGTAATCTGTTTACAATATTCTCATTATGTCTTATATTTTTATTTATACAGGGATGTGGTCATGTCACTCACAGAGGAAATTAAGCGACCAGAACGGTAGGGTTTCCTTTTTTTTGTTTACACTGACCGTGGTTTCGCGAGGAGGAAGAAGAAGTGGTTCTAGAACACCCACCCCCGGACAACTACCCCGGACAACTACCCCCCCCCCCGATAACTACCCCCAGACAACTACACCCTACGACAACCATCCTCTAGGACAACTACCTCCCGAACAACTATCCTAGGGGGTATTTGTCCGGGAGGTAGTCGCCCTAGAGGATGGTTGCCGTATGGGGTAGTTGTCCGGGGGTAGTTATCCGGGGGTAGTTGTCCTAGGGGGTAGTTGTTCTAGGGGGTTGTTGTCTGAGGGGTAGTTGACTTGGGGTGGTTATCCGGGGGTGGATGTCCAGGGGGTAGGTGTCCGGATACGAGAAGAAGTAAATGGATGTGACACCCCATCCCATTCAAATTTATTGTTGACAAATCCATGATTTGAATTAGAATTTGAAATGAATTTGTAGTTGACCAGGGGGTAGTTGTCCAAGGGGGTAGTTTTCCTAGGGGGTAGTTGACTGGGGGTGGTTATCCGGGGGTGGATGTCCAGGGGGTAGGTGTCCGGATACGAGAAGAAGTAAATGGATGTGACACCCCATCCCATTCAAATTTATTGTTGACAAATCCATGATTTGAATTTGAATTTGAAATGAATTTGTAGTTGACCAGGGGGAAGTTGTCCAAGGGGGTAGTTTTCCTAGGGGGTAGTTGACTGGTGGTGGTTATCCGGGGGTGGATGTCCAGGGGATAGGTGTCCGGATACGAGAAGAAGTAAATGGATGTGACACCCCCATCCCATTCAAATTTATTGTTGACAAATCCATGATTTGAATTTGAATTTGAAATGATCTGAATTTATTTTCTTCTGCAAAACATATAAATCAAATTACATCATATACAAATATAGCAATTTTTCTTTGAACATAATACGTAACCTAACTGACAACACAATATCAAGAATTATTCATTAATAAATCTGCGGAAGAAGAAGGGCTATCATAACAAGCGTTTGTTTGAAATGAGATACAACATGGTATAAAGAGAGAGAGAGAGAGAGAGAGAGAGAGAGAGAGAGAGAGAGAGAGAGAGAGAGAGAGAGAGATGGATGGGTGGGAAGGAAGGACTAAGCATGTATAAGAAATCAAAGGGGGGAAAAGTTTTGTGAGAAAGCATTGGAGGGCACAGGCCGAGCCGCAGAATTATTCCCCACGAACTTGCAAACAGTACGGCAATCGGTATGTTTTGTTCTATATTTTTTCTTCAATGAAGTTTGAGTTATTTAAACGTATCCAGTAAATGAGATCGATTGATCGATCTGTATTGAAAAACAAGTCAGAACAAATTTTGGAACCAGCAGGACTTGAACTTGCATCTACTGCTTAACGGGCAAGTCCCGCTGGTTCCAAGATTTGTTATGACTTGTTTTTCAATACAGATCGATCAATCGATCTTATTTACTGGGTGTAAGCCACAAATATGTTTAAATAATTGAAATTTCTCCCAGGAAGCATTACATTTACAGAAGTTTGAGTTGTTTCGCATTCTCTCAGAAACATTCCTCTGGGAGTGGCGATATCCATGGCAGCTATAACCATCCTCTACACCATGGCAAATATTTCCTACTTCACTCTTCTCTCGCCTCAAGATGTCTTGGAATCCGAAGCTGTAGCAGCGGTGAGTATAACTTTTTGTTTTATTTTTGTTTCCTTGTTTGTTTGCAGTTGTTGCTGTAATTATTTTTGTGAATGTTTTCTTTTTCATCTGAACACATTAAACTGTAGGCATACATGTCAAGAGAAAGAGATTAAGGAAATGTATTGAGATAGAAAGAGAAAGGGGTAGAGAGAAGAGAAAGAGAGAGAGAGAGAGAGAGGGAGAGAGTGGTGGGGAGGGAAGGGAAGAGATACAAAGGAACATTGATAGAAAGAATGAAAGCTCAGGGGTTTTAGGTATTTAATTACGGTCAGATTTTTTTTTTTTGACTGGGGGGGGGGGGGGCAACTGCCCACCCCCCTGCCCCCCCCCCCCCCAACTTCCGGCGCCTATGCTATGGGCCCAATTGTCTTAGTCGATACTGCTGCTATTTCACCATTGATCCATTGACCTAAATGTATCTACTATTCTCAACGTACGCATTTGCAGGACTACAGTGTGCTGACGCTAGGCCGATGGTCTTGGCTGATCTGGCTATTTGTTGCGTTATCAGCTATGGGTAATCTCAACAGCAAAACCTGCAAACATGGAAGGTAAATGATTGATTGATTGACTGATTGACTGATTGATTGATTGATAGAAAAGGTTTTATTGAAGGAAAATTTTAAAATCACAATCCCGGATCTGAATTAACATGGATAGCATTGTGTAGAAAAGAAATCAAAAGTACAAAGAATATAATAAATAACATATATATGATTATTGATAAAATATAAACGTGTTTGGACTACAGCTACGAGTTCATTCCACCTTCTTGCTCCCAAAAGTCATTGCTTCATATATTAGCGAATTATCTGTTATGATGAGCCACTAGTATTATTGGTTAACGTTTTTCCTTAAGTGATTGTCTTTTATAAGACTGTTACAAAAGTGTTAATTATGTGTCATCTAAATAAGACTATCTTGTCACTTTGTGCGACTGGAAGTATACTCTTTTTTTCGAGACGTCGATATCGTTCAATTCATAATGAATCTATAATATTTGTTATTGTTTTTTAATGTTTTATTGAAACAATCAAATACAATCACAATATTTAAAGTAATTATAAAAAGATTACAAAAAAGCAGTAAAACGAAGATCAAAAGTAAATTTACACTAAGATGCAGGCAATTACATGCACATGAACCTAAATGTATAAAACATTATAAAACAACATTATAAAATAAACTTCCCTTTTTGAAAGTACAAGGGCAATTTGTTTTTCTTTTTGGGCAATACGATATTCAAGATTTTTATTATAGTCACTATAAGTTCTGAAACCCTGAAAATTTGGTATTTTACTTTGAAATTTGCATAAATAAATGTAGTTTAAGCATAAGAAATAAATAGGTCAAAAACATTTCCTTTTCACAGCCAAACATTCTTTCGAATATTGAAAAATTCACTAAAATAACTTTATCAATCTATTGAGTAACAGTTTTAATAGTATTATCCCAAATGGGTTTTACAGTCTGACATTCAATGAAAAGAGGTAAGTAAGTCTCTGGTTCACAATCGCAAAATGAACAATTAAGATAATTCTTTCGTTTAATTTTGACCAAGAAGTTATGTAATGCTATGGCTTTATGAAATAGTTTGAAATAAAATGAACGAATGCGAGTGGTTATAGAACATTTGAAATTATCAATATGAGTCTTGTCCCAATCGACAGGGTTTGGGTCAGAAAGTTAATATTAGGTCTGCCTGTCTAATAATGACCTGTGGGCTTCGTGGGACGTCGGCCGCGTTTGTTTCTTGAGCTGTATCAAGGATCTTAGCCTTAAAACGTTCATATATATTTATTTTTCAGGCAAGTCTTTGCTGCATCTCGAGAGGGACTCTTTGCAGAGATAACATCAATGCTAAACGTGAGGTACAACACACCTATCCCGGCCATCTTTACCCTGGCCCTCAGCCTTCTCTATCTCATCGAGACCAGGGTCATTTCACTTATCAGGTACCTCATGTTCATCGAAACCATCTTCGATACGATGACGGTGGCGGTATTACCCTATTTTCGCTGGAAGTATCCCGATCTGGAGAGGCCGTTCAGAGTAAGTGTGACAGGGGTTCGGAGGAGGGGGCTGGGGCTACCCCCTTCTATCTAGTGGTGAAACAAAATAAGAACTAAGGAAAAGCGAAAGAACAGAGAGAAAGGGAAAGGGAGAAGGGGAAAGGATGAGAAAGGAATTTGCCTGGATCACCCCCCTCATTATGCCTTAAATCAGTAGCGTTGTAAATTTGTATTCTACTTTCCGAGTAACACAGACCCCCTCCCCCCCCCCCAACCTATAGCTCCAGTGCCCCCTCATATGGTGAGCTCACTCCACGCCACGCCACGGGCTACCTACCAATTGTACCATTGCTTTTTTTTGTCATATTTAGGCGCCCATGGTGATGGTGGTTATTTACATGAGCGGTCAAATCTTCATCGCGGGTATGTCTTTCTATCTGGATCCGATGAGGAAGTCTGTCGGCCTGTTCATCGTCTTGGTTGGTCTCCCCGTCTATTTCTTCTTCTTCCATGAACGATTCAAGCTGAAATCCATTGAGCCGTATACACGTAAGTAAAACTCACATCATGGGTATTCAATCACGGGGTAGGGAAGGGGGGAGCTGTACCCCCACACACCTTATGAAGAGAGTGTCGCCTGTACAATTCAACTCCCATTTTTTCCGGGGCAGATTATGATAATGAAATCATTATTTTTTACAAAGTTGATATAGGTGACAGTAATGAAAAGTTCTCTTTGAAGTGCTATAAAAATAAAAAGAATAGTATTACAATCATTTCGTGAAATGAAAATTGGGGAACATCCCATTGCAACAGAAAACACTTCAACTGTTCGAGTAAAATTGATTACTAGACAAAAAGCGGCGAAATATAAAAGCGGCAAGAATTAGAAATACCAACATTCAAGGGAAACGCCAATGTCGGCCTTTCTTGCATTGTGCACTCATGAGGGCAGCATTCTGGTTTGGTGAACCCGCGAAAGAGTGCTGCAGTAGGCCCACATTTGAACGACTTAAACCTTCTATCAATTGGACTGTCAAGTTAATCAAAATCAAACCGTGTGTTTATAATAAATAGAGAGAAGAAAATGTGTACATGAACTATAAATAATTGCATTAGGACACCCTTCGGGTTCGCCCCTCAGATCTCTTGTGGCAAAAGTACTGTCATCGTAGGACGTTCTTGGTTTCTCCTCCCACTACATGCCCTTGGAAAGATTCTTACCAAGTTTGGTTAAAAGACAGCGATGTATTTTTAAAGACAAAGTAAGTTTAAATATCTAATTTTCACAAGTGGGGAGATTCAGGGCTGCCCCTGAGCATTTCTGAGGACAAGGTACCTTGTTTGAACCATATGAGGTCTCCTTCCCGTACCAGTGATTCCTACCAAGTTTTGTAAACGAGTTGAACGATCAGTTTGTGACCTTTTCTTTGATAACAAAGTTAGACTTTGGTATTTATTTGAAATAGGGTAACATATAGATGATACCTTCAAAGTTTGATTAGGAAAAAAATTGCTGGGTAGATTACAAATTGCAGTTGCACAAGTCTTAACCTGAAAAATACCCAAATGTTGCTGCCGCCCTCATCATCGCTGTTGTGGAGGAAATCATATCAATATCTTTTCATTTCTTCCTCTTTTTTGCAGACAAGATGACGAAATTTCTTCAGAGATTATTCTACTGTGTCCACCAAGAGAAAAAGACCTTCTAACGATTGTCAGATTTTAAAGCACCGATGTCCATTTGCACTTTTACCTGCATCTTATACTAAATGTATGCTCCCTTGTATGGGCATCTTGACAAAACTGTTCACCCTTTATTCTGCTGCAGTTCAGTTGTATTAAGGATACTTGGGGTATCTCCTTAGTATGGTTATGAGAGATAATTACACCGAAGAAATGGACAGTCATGGTTTTGTTTTAAATTCATTTTTTAAATAAATCAGGTTTGTCTTTTGAAAAATCTCTAATCACTTATGGCAATTTAAAACGTCACGAGTATAGGCTATAACACAATCGCAGATATGGTGTCTCTGGGGTGTACGATAGGGTTTTGAAAGTGCCCTTTGATTGATTTTTGTAAGACTTCGCGATTGTATTTCTATGAGGAAATACATGTGAGTAACATGTTGTTTGTCTTAAATAATAATAATAATGAAATGAATATTAGATCTTATAGATAGTAGACGAAATGGCATTATATTAACTAGTTATGAGACTAAATGAACAATATACAAAATGGGTGGTGGACTAATTGAAGATCAGACCAAATGGAAATGAGACCAAATGGTCATTAGCCTAAAATATAAGAAGACGAAATGATTATTAGACTATGTGGTAGTAGACGTGCCTGTGTGTAGATCATAAGGGAATGGACTAATTGGGTAGTAGACGAACAAGTTGTAGACCAAATGGCAATTTACCGCCACTATGTACACTATACTCTAGAATGTACGTTTGGCTGTAAACATTCAGAAACTTTAGAACATGCACTATAGCAATTTATAATACGTTCAGACGTTTTGGAATGAAACCAATGTTGTCCATGTTTGACTTATCTTTTCTGGATGAAAAAAACAAACAGTCATCGTATGATATTTAGAGAAGCACCCCCAAAGTATGATAATAAACCATGTTTTATTTAAAGCAAAATGATGTAGTTACCTGTGCTTAAACCAGAAAAACAAGCTAAGCATTGATTGTTTTAAAATTATGCTTTTTACTTCGTATAAAGAAGAACACCATATTGCAAATCAAAAAGGCAAGCTATCGTGTCACCATAGAAATTGGAATGTGTTCAACAACTTTTTGTTTTTGATTAGTTTTAATTTTTACTGTAATTATTGTTGACCTGGTGACCTCTTTATTTTACTTCATCAACAGATGTTTCAAGCTATTGATTTATATATATCATATATATGCATCAATTATGCAAAAGATTTAATGTATGTATCCTTCCATGGAATATGTCATGTGAACTGAAAAGTATCAATAAAACATCTTTGAAATATATTCAAAAAAATCTGGATCCACTTCTGCTTTGAGAGGTACAACCGTTAACACAAGCACTTGATTATTCAAGCCCATTAATTCTTTTATCATTTTTATGGGCGTGATCTCACAAGATAACGTGGCTTAGTCAGCGTCATTAACACTAATTAAAGAGTTTCATGTAAGAATGATCATCACAATTTAATATACTTTGAGTTTAACAGGTCACAAAGTTACGGAATTATTAATTATTTTGTCAAAATGTTCTGCTCGACAGATGAGTTTGGTCTATTGGTCAACTCAGTAGCGTACGCAGGATTTTTTCAAGGGGGGGGGGGGGGTTTAACATTTTTAAATCGGGCCGAAAATTTCGCAAGGACTCAGCCAGCCGCTGAATAAGCGAGGGGGGGGGGGTAAGAGGACACCTTTTTTTTTTGGGTCTCGAAATTTGAAAAATAGCCATTGGCACAAATTTTTGTTTATAATAAAAAAATATATAAAAAAATAAGGGGGGTTTCCTCCAAAATAAATACACACATAAAAAAAATACAAAAGGGGGGTTTAACCCCCACACCCCCCCCCCCCCTGCGTACGCGCCTGGGTCAGCTCTCTGTCAAGCCTACAAACTGTTTCTGTGGGACCTAAATTCAAAACCGAGCAACGTCTTTATTCCGAAAGACCGTGATTTTGTTATCGTCCGTCGATCTGCAGACGTAAATATTCAGGAATGATTGAAAGCCCATTGATTTGTACCTTCACACACACTCGTTTCAACAATGATGGCAAAATTGTGAAAATCACGATGGGAGGGGTGGCGAATGGGGGGGGGGGGGCTTAAAGAATCTCAACGTACAAATTAAATCGATTTCAACTTACTGATTATGAAATCAACAATTATAGAAGGTCCAAATGACCTTCATAGAGCAGCTCAAAATCGAGTGGTGGTTTTCTTGCTGAACCAGTAGTAATGGATGACTGTGAAGTCAGATGCTTTGCCCCTCTTGATGCGATGGTGCGGATACGCCATACTGATCAACCAGTACACGAGACTACACGCACGAGACATCGATGAAGGCAGAGAATAAATAGTATCAAGGACTTTACATAGTCATAAAGGTCATAGGTAAAGACAAATAACGTTACTAACTATAATAAACTCAACAAAAGTGTTGGATATCCGTGGCCCCGTAACACAACGCTTTTGAACGTACAATTGTTTATTGCACAGATTTATCCATGCATGTGGCCCAGGACTAGATACATGAATAATTGTCGTGATCATAGATTTTCTTTCTTTTTCTTAGTAATGAATTACATACATGTACATGACACGGAGAAACGTGGAGTATTTCTTGTAGTAATTTATTTTTGCCTTTTCCCTCCTTTGGCTGATGTTTTAAGTTTGATTACCAAGAAATCTTCTGTTTTGATTGACGTAATTTCGTGTGTAAATTTTGTGTAAACTTTGCTGGAGTAAACTTTTATTTACGAAATTATGTATTGAATGAATTTAAAATCCAAGATCTCGTGATCTCAAAATACTTATTCTTCTTAGTTACTTCTTTCCCTGTCTGTTATTCGAATGATCAACAGTTCTAATTAACATCAGCTTTCCTCGTTTCCATTGAAAATCAGACAAACTAAATGTCAAAAAGGTGAAAAGTGTTTACTTCACTCTCTGAGTACATGTATAAACAGCAGAGCCTATGCTATAGGTCGAGTATTCAAATTTCGTGCGTTTTTAGGGTTTTAAATATTCGGAACTTGACTCTTGAAAATACTGACGGCTCCTACATTTAGTTGAATTCTACAATCAAAAGTAAACGTGTTCGATTAGCCCATCTCTCACAACAAAAGGTGCGTACCACAATATTTTTTTCTATGAAATTTTGATATTTGACGTATATAACCGTTACTAGTTAATAGTTAAACCATAATACTGTAGAATGAAATTCGTTTTTGTTTCCATCTGCTATGTTAGTTTGTTTTTTCTTATTTTTGGCTCTGTGCAGATCATAGTATTACACGTTTGGGCGGTATATAAGGACATCCTGGAATTATATAATCCGTGCATTAAAGTTGGCTTAAAAGCAAATATTGATTTCCTATGTTGTTATCTTTATTTTCCTAGCTTGCAAATTGTACCGAATGTTGAGCGTTCACAACTACGTCGTAATTATCTGCGGCATTCTGAGTTGATGTTATACGAGGTGAAAGGACAGTCAGGTACAATGGCGAGGGTAATGAAGATCACAAAATTGATTTGCTGCGTGACCCTCCTGTTTGGAATTATCGGCACTTTGTGGCTGGGGCTTGGCGTCAAGACCTTAAACGATAGACGCCCTGGAGCAATATTACGACTTACTAGTGATAAAAGGGAGCACCTATCCTTGTCTCATAAAGGTGCAGAAGCCAACTCGAAAGATGAGAAGGGCCACTCCAAGAACATTGGGATCCTCATCCAACATTCATGGACACCCTTTTCAGCCAAGCATGATTATAAATATTTGTTAAATAATCGCCTCAAATGCGCCGACAAAGGTGGGAAGCTTTATGAGAAATTATCTGTGATTGCCATCGTCACTTCGGACCCGAGGAACGTCGACCGAAGAAACGTGATAAGGATGACATGGATTCGACACGCCATCGAGAATAAGATTGCCATCAAGGTCATGTTCATAGTGGGCGTAACGTCCGATGGGTCTATCCGGAACAAGATCAAGCACGAGGCTTTCCTCTACAAAGACATCATTCAAGAAGCTTTCCAGGATACTTACCTTAACCTGACGGTCAAGACCATTGGCGCCCTCAAGTGGGCCACCCAGTTATGCCCTCGGGCAAAGTTCTTCATGAAACTCGACGACGATGTCGTTGTCAACATAGGGAACCTGACAGGCTTTCTCGATGTCTTTGTGCCGTCGGTCAACTACCTCGGTGGCATCGTGCAGGTCGGGTCCATTCCATTTCGTAATCCACAAGATAAATGGTACACACCTGAAGAACTCTACCCAGAAGCCACCTACCCTCCGTATCCAGAAGGGAAAATATACATCATGTCCATGGACGTTGCAAAGAGAATCTACCATCACACCAAAACATTGCAGATTTTCCCCTGGGAGGACGTCTTTATTGGAATTTGCGCCAAACAATTGAGTATAGTTCCCCAGAACATTGTCAACTTCCACGGCGTATGGACAGTGCGAAGTGAAGGTATAGGGATCATTAAGACTGATGAAACATTGGCAAATTTGAATTTCCTTTATGTCTTTTATGACCTTACAATAGGGGAAATGATAGAAATTTGGCAAGCATGGATGTCAAACAGTTGGGATTAACATTCTGTTAGATTATCAACTTATTTATTCTATCTAGCTGTCTTTCATTATATATAAGGTAGATGAGATTTGTTCATAAGGAAAAGAACTCGTGATGAATATTATCTTTCAGCGGGGAGAGTCAAGCAAAGAGTTGTAAGATGGACTCTGAAGTGTAAAGTAGCTAAGGTCCACCTCAGGTGAAAATTACTGAAGGCCAAGAAACATCATATGATTATGTATATACCATATTTAGTTTAATAGATCCAGCATTTTGAGAAAGTGGAGGGGGTTATTTTTTTCAACATTCATATTTCACAGGAACGCTGTATTGGAAACCATGTCATGCCTTCAAAGTACTAAACTTATGATCTCTCAAATAGGGAAGGAGTGGAAATATTAAACAAATAAATGATTGAATTAATCAATAACTAAATAATAAAAATCAAAAAAAGAAATAGAGGAATTTACAATATAAATGAAGGCTTTCAGATCATATCTATTATTTTATGCCAGTGTCATAATGTAAATTTTGTGCATATGATTCTACACTTCTAGCTCGTGAATGTTTTTCAAATTTGTTAGCTTTATAACATTAAACGGGACAGCATATAATATTCCTCAGAAATATATCGAAATGTCAACGCACTTTGAGAGAATATGAGGCAGTCATGGTTTTATTGGAAACTTTCAGATTACCGTGCCATGCCGAGCAGTCCCCTATATTTGCATAGTGGTCGTGGCAAACATAGTCAATCAATCTTCTTCGATGGGGGCAGGCATACATCCCCCACATTTGAGGAAGGGGAGGGGTGGCGTGTACAAATATACGCCACGGTTCAATTGAATGTAATGTTCAAATTAATCAGCTGTTGAACATTTTGATAAAATTGATATGCGTGACTTTTAACAAGTGACATTTTTCTTTAAAATGTTATTAAAATACTTTACTCGAGTTTGAAATGTCCTAAAAATTTGTCCTTTTATTCTTCAAAATGCATCTCCATTTCATTAGTCGTGTGTGTGTGTGTTCACTTGAGAAAATATTGGCGCCTGATTGTGGTCAACCCCCCCCCCCCCCCCCCCCCCCCCCCCCCCCCAAGGATAAGATATACGCCACTAACATTTTATAACAGTCATATGCAGTCCAATAGGCTTGTTTGCTGATGTTATGCATACTTCTTGTTGAAAGGTTTATCTTGACCTCCCCAAAAGCTTGTCAGAGGCTTGTCAGACATACATATAGCACAGTGAATGTAGGCAAAGTGGATTTTATCTATAGAGATGCCAATATGTATTTAGCAGGTGAATCAGATATATTTACATACATGTAGATACACATGCATAAACTGAAATACATAAGTAATCAGGTCTATTAAAAACACTCGCTTTTCATGAAACTATGAAAGCATCTCTATTTGGACTGAGTACACCTTGCAACATTAATTCTGGTACGCGAAATAAGCCTCTCGCCAGCTACCGGGTCGTTCAGGGTAACTTTTGTTCCACAAATGTGCTTAAAAGGTTCGAATAGATGAGTAAACTGGTAATCTAAAACCTGTTACTATCCAGCGTGCAATCAAAAGTCAGAGAATGAACAGGTATTAAATTTGTTCTATTTTGTCTGCTTTTAATTTATTTTACTTCACTTATATCTTTTTTACTAAAATGTAGAAAGTGATGTTTATCTAAAGAGAAACTGTAATCATTATGAATGTATGCGAGTGTTAACTTTGATTACAAAAGTCTTGTTTTCAATGGGAGACAACAAAAAGTAGTCATACAGTGTTCCAAGTGAGTGGCTACATGTATGTTACAAAATATGTATACCTTTTTCACCTGATTTTGTTGTAGATATTAAGGATATCGTAACAACGAAGTCGATTAACATTCATGTCACACATAATATGATTCTTTAAGACCACTATTTCGCTGGGGATGGGATAGGGAGATGACGCCTCTTACTTGAAATTAAATTTTCTATTCTCTAAATTTTGTGATCAAGTAAAAATTGAACGCTTTATTTTGGTCAAGAGTATAATTTTGTCATCTAATTGCATCAGATATTAGTTTTGAAAATGCAAAATCGGGCTCCACGTTGTTCAGCGGTTGCCCGGTTATTGGTATTTTAAAGATATTCAAATGTTTTAAATTATCACATTTTGCTTAAACATTAAAAAAAAACTTATTTTTTCAACGATAACTTTGTATTCTTAAATGCAGCCGAAGTACTCTCAATCTATATTTTATTCTACCAGTAGGAAAAGATGAACTCCCTTTGAGTCAAATTTATTTTGTCTTTATTAGAATAATAACATCATTTCCAAGCCGTGAGGAATTCGTCACTCGAAACAAAACCAAAATGGGCATGTTATGATAATTGGTTATAAGACCACTTATAGTATAAGTAGTCAATGTATTTTGTTGAAGGTTGATGAAAATTCATTTCCAAGCAGATTGATAGTTTTTGAAGACATTTTAACGGTGCCGGCTAGTGTGACAGACTCCGAGTCTATATTGTAGATACGCCTTCAATCTATGGTGATTGTCATTTTGTGACCCAGTGCACGTTATACAATTATTGACTAATAAAAACACAATACTGAAGTAGCAAATGTCAAAACATGAAACAAATAATGAAATTAATAGGTGGAATTGATGCACAGTTATCATACAAGAACTTGCTCCACACTACTACTACTCGAGCTTGAGGTCCTCGACTTCTGTTTCTCCTTGTCGAAAATGAATTTCCCAACGTCTTCTATGTTCATGTGAGGGTGGACGCCGACTTCCACGCCCAAATCGCGACACATCTCCGTCAACGAATCGATGTTGGACTGCGAAAGTCGCAAGTAGCGGCATTGCAGGACTTGCAGTGGGTCAAAGTTCATCGATGTATCGGCGGCGTGCTGGTGCCTCTGAGCTGCCGCGTGAGGGTTGACGTGCTGCATCGCGCGAACTTGAGCACGGAATCGACGGGCTTGAATAGAGTTGCTCGAAGGGTCGTATGCCATGGTGCTGCCGACGTTGCCGGCGATGAGCTCCTCGATGTTACCACTGCCACCCTCGCCCTTGGTGTTTGTATAGAGGGCTGAGCGAAGATCATTCAGTACCTCCATCGGGATGTGGATATGACTGTGTGAAGCATCTATCAGTCGAGGAGGGAGAAAGGGGCAACAGGTGCTCTTACAATGCTACTAAATATATGGGAAGGGTAACCATTGACAACCACACCAGTGGTCTTTTGCATAAATGTTCAATATTCAGCAAAACTTCTAAAATCGAACGCAGATAAACTTTCAACCAACAAGGATCATGAATCTTGGACTTGCATTTGATTTAGGGGAAGGGGGAATTTACATGCAGATTTTTCAATGCAAGAGGCCTTGGGTCAATTTACTCTTGCCCGAACAGTTTGGGATTAATATATGCTCTAAAAATTAAACTATTACTTTTGTATATTATTGTGTTTCTGTTTTTTTTAATGCAAATTTAGAAATAAATTCAATTCAATTCAATTCAAACAAAACCCTAATAAATGAAAAAATGATTGAGTGAAAGTCAAGATGCGTTCGATTGTTTGAGTTTAATCACAACTTTCATACTGGAAAAGATTATACATGTATGTCTCGCACTGGGTATTAGATATCAAGATGATGTATACATGAACGACAATGGCTTCGGCATCACTTTGCGCTTGGTCTTATTTTATCATTGAAATAGAGTTGAGGGCTAAATCAGAGTTGCGATTGTGTTTCAGGACAGTTTTAGACAAGCATTAAAAACTGACCGTCATGACATTTGAGCAATTGTTGTCGGAGCATATATTATTATGTCAATCATTGCGTCGTTGAAATTTCATTTTTGTTTAAATATAGGCCTACATGTATGACATGCATCTTCTCAGTAAATAAGTGCCAATAGGATTCGTTTTGATGGATAAGATTTACATCTTCTTAGAACTTTTTTGGCCAATGGAAATGTATCAAAGAGTTCTGGGAAGCTATTAACTTTTTCTATCAATAATAAATTATTTTGGCACAACCATGTTATGGAAAGGAGTAAGAAAAGTTTATTCCAACTTTATGTGCAACAGTGAAGTAAAAGTTTGACACTTAGCACTCCATATAGTCTTGTGAATTGTGATGATATCAGTGATGAGAAAAGTGGTGACGAACCTTAAATGATCAGCCAAAACACTTACCTTTAGATTTTGCTTTCTTAACATGTTCTCGTCTTGAATCATGGTGGTCCGTCGTTTTGTCATGCCTGGACTCGCTGCTTAATTTAACAACATGGGCACTCTTACTTATATTCTTCTTTCCTTTTGGAGAAGTTTGTTTCTGCGTTGATTGCTCTTTCGAATGTGATGGTTTTCCTTTTTAAAAAGCCAACGAAAAGAAAATTATGAAAACATATGCGTCATTGAATAATGATTATGCGATATCACATGACAAAAATTCAGAATTAAAAGTTAGAAGTGCTTTATTGGGGTCGTGGAAAAAGAAGGGGGGGAATGTTTTTGTGTTTTTTTTTTGGGGGGGGGATAGGTTTTTTTTTTTTTTTGGTACGGCGATTTACCGCGCCATCTCTGAACAAGCCTTGACAGTGTAAATAGTCATTTAAATGTACTTACGGTCGGATTTCTTCCTGTCCTCTTGAGCTTGACTGACAGATGCTCGGCGTGCTGCAACAACATGGTCGCTTTTACCCACCCTGCCCTCTTTCCTTGTCGTAGCGACAGCGCCCTCTCCTGCTTTATCCTCCTCTTTCTTTTTCTCTTCCTTGAAATGGACTTTATGATCACTACTTGTGTGGCTGGATGAATCATCACCTTCGTCCAAGCCTTCATGACACTCAAGCTTAAGGACTGTTTCTGATTCTGCCGACTCGGAACTTGAATGGTCACTTGATGTCCGGGGAGGTGAGCGGTGCTTCTTGCCCTTTTTCCGATGTTGTTCTTGGCCCTCCTCCAGGAGTGCTTGCCCACTGAAGAGTCTGCTCGAGAGGAATCGACTGGGGATGGCCATGCCGTGAGAGGACGTTGGCGGTCCTGCGATCATGTGGCCCGATTCTCTGGAGCGAGGTCCGCCGCCTGCTAGCAGGTGACTGGACGCCTTGGGACCTTGGTGCTGACTGTGCATTGAGGTGTTCAGGGAGAATCGACTACCCGTCATGTCGCCGGGTCTGGCAAGCATCATTTGAGACCCTTTCATCCGATCTTCCATTAAAATGCTGGCTCGGTGATGCATAGGGCCACTCTTGGGATCCATGTAGCTGCAAGAAAGGAATCCAGATGCATTGAATATTATATCTTGACTTTCTTCCTTCTCCCCTTTCCTGTCTTATTCGTTTTCTTCCTCCTTTACTGACGAGTTTATTCACATCCTCTCTCCTATACTTTCCTTCTCCCTTGTACTTTGGTTTCTTGATGACGTAATGTTACGTCAAACCTCTTTCGTACACGCTTTTTCTTACTTGCTTCCGTCTTATTTCGCTGAGACATGATCATTCGTGTTCCCATTTTATGGGGATACTCGGGTGCGTATATTTTAATGCATACCAATATTATTTTTTCAAAGTCAAATAAAATCGTTACCAGGGCTCTCACTTAACTTTTTTTCTTGGTTGCCAGCCGGGCATCCTATACAGTTTTTTAGGTTGCCAAATGGCAGTTTAGGTGGTCACAGTGAATATGTTTAAAGGGGTTTGTGTAATGCATAAATCTGCCATCGGGTCTGTCGCAATTGTCGCGCCATCGAAATTACCATCCTCCATGGTAACCATGGTAATCATGGTACCAAACAATAAAATACATTGTTTGATGACCCTATATTTATCGTTTGATACTATGGTAACCATGGTGGATGGTAATTTGGACAACAAAATCATGGTTACCATGGCACTTTTTTTTGTTGTAAGGGGCGCTACTTGAAATCTTGAATTAAAATATTTAAACTAGAGGGTCTATAAAAAAATCATAATTAACTCAGTGCCCGGTACAACAGTCAGGGAAAAAATTAAGTTTTTCATTTCAGGGGCTCCATTTCAGGTTTTGGGGGACATTTTTGGGGGGCTACTTTTTCAACTTCCGAGAGCTTTTTTTTCATTTCGAGGGCTCTTTTTTCTGGGGCTACTTTTTCATTAATTCATAAAAGAATAGTTTGTTGAGATTTTTTTTTGTATGCTAAGGTTTAATTCGGGCTTCCTGCGTCATAATTACCCATTCAAAAAGAAAGCATTTATCTAGTTAAAAACCTAAGTTTTAATGCATTTGACTGTAACATAATAGATTGTGATTATTCTGGCCATGACCATGTTCAGATCTTCTACTGAATTTCGATAATCATTTTTTTCAAAGTAAAATTTTCACAAGAAAATCAGACAGTCGTTTAAAAACTAAGACATAAGTAACACTTTTACTAGTTCTAAGCTCAGGTTTCATACCTCGATTCACGAACCTACTTTGAAATCACGGCAATAATGATGCAAACAGATAGCAATTTCAAAGTGTTGTCAAGTCTCTTCGACTCTAGCTCAGCTCAGCTCAGCTCACACAGCAGCTGCAGTGACACTGCACTGTGCAACTGAACTGTCAGTCACGATCATTTTCTCCGATTTTCTTGTGAAAACTTATTTGAAAAATGAATATCATGGCGAGAATAATCACAAAATAAGCTTTGATTTCATACCTCTATTCACGAAAACTATATACAATAGCGGCAATCATGATGGAAATTGATTGCAGTTTAGCGATCTTTTTTAGCAAATGGTCTAGGTTCAGCTAATATGATCTATCGAAACAAAATCGACCGCAAAAAACTCGATCCCTGCGCTCCGTCTCGCAACCGCGAAAATGTACGTCTTTTCGCGTACACGTGCGTGCGACATGGTAAGCCAGGTGAATCAAGTTTTTTATGACCGAATTTGTGTATACAATTTTAGACGGAGATTCAGCGCGCGTGTGCGTGCCGACCAAGAAATGCACACAATGAATACAAAGCTAGTAGAGAGCGGCCGCTCGTAATCGTTACGGGGGCCGGGGCTATTTGAGATCATTTCCTTTTTTGACATTTATTTTGTTGGTTGCCAGCCGGGCAGCCAAGACGGGACTTTTAGGTTGCCCGGTGGCGTTTTAGGTGGTCAATGGCACCCGGGCAACCGCTAATTTCGAGCCCTGGTTACTTGACAAAGCCCCAAGGGAGACAATTTGTAATAACAAAATTAAGTTTAAAATCAAATGAGACACACTTGGAAGGCTAGTTTAAACTAACCTGTGAGATGGTCTCTTTTTGTTTAGTCCTTCTCTGTTCACTTGTTCCTTGATGGTGTGTCCATATCCAGCCGGCTGGTGGACTGGAGGGGGTCCTTGGGTCAGCTCATACGACGTCTGCGGGCTGATGCCATTACTCATATGTCTTGATCCTGGGACCTGGCCGACGCCGCCATCGTGCACGATGTCGATAGATTGACGCCTGTGGGTCAGAGCCTGATGACTTGATCTTCCTCTATGGAGACCCGACTGGGAAGATGCTGGTGGACCCGTGAGTTGCGACCTAGAACCTATAGCTGCACTGTGAATGGATTTACCCCCCGTCAACTTTCCACCGTTTTTTGACCCGTTGTGCAAATGACCCGTTGGGTGGTTGACCTGTAGAATCTGATGAATCGAGAGAAATCCTTTCATAAATTTAAAACATTGTTTTCTTCTTTTTATATATTCCAAGTCGCTTGGTCAAGCACTGAACGTATTGCGATATAGGGTCATCCTCCATTATCATATAATTGGACAAACGTGTTCTTTGCCCATTGTCTACACTTTAAAGCTTTTAGGGGGAGGGAAAGGCCGGTGTACTTTTGGGCGAATTAAATTTGTCATATAATCGTGGACAAGTTATGGTCGATTCCAAATTAGTTTATATAATGCACATTGCACACAAATAATCTTAAAAAGTGCTGGCATGGGTTTGGTCGGGGAATAATATTCCTAATAAAGATCGATTTTATGATCATCTAATTTTTTCACATTTCCCTTTCATTTTTCACATCTTCCTCATTACGTTTCTTTCTTCCTTTTTTGTGAATCCAATATTATAGACCCAAAGTTATGTGATATAAATGTGCTTCCAATATAACAAATTAGGTTCTAAATGTGTATTAACAAAAGATTTTGAAAAGAAGCAACTGAATCAGGAATGATTCTGGTAGCTAGGTTACCACTATATTTATTCATTGCATAACAATCTTCAACAGATTATTTCATCTTCCACGTGTAGTAGAAGATCTCATACCAACGTCACATAGACATTGACATACCCCCCCCCCCCCCTCTCCCAACCGCATAGAATGACAAATTTACCATGTTAGTGTTGCTGTCCGTCCGATTCCCGTACAGACGAGAGTTGGTTCGAGACTGAGAGCGAGAATCGGGCATGTCGGGATGTCGTCTACATTTCTCATCTTGTAGCTTGGTGAGCTGTCTCATTAGTTCCTTCTCCTCCTGGCGATTGATGTGATCCTGGACCTTTTTGGCACTTTTCAGCGACCTACGTCAATATCATGATATGAAAACATCCATATGATAAATATAATAAACGGCGAATCAGCTAGCCGGCTAATAAGCTGGAGGGGGGCACTATTTTTTACCCAATTCGTGATAAAATATTTATTGGTGTTATCAGATTTTCGAAATCCTCCCAATTTGTTGAGATAGCGGACTTAGATCTAACTTAGTTAGGTCACGCGCGAACTATGGTCACTCATAAAGTCATATTCATAACATAGATCTAGGCCTAACTTTGTTAGAGCCAGAAGTCTAGGCTAGGGCTAGACTCTACTCTCTAGGTCTAAATTTTTGTCTAGAGTCTAGAATCTACTGCCAGATAGACCTAGATCTAATTGATTATCAATTTTGAAAAATATTCTAGATGTAGCCTAGGAGTAGGACTAGACTAGACTATGTCTATCTAGTCTAGATAAAATGATTTAGATCTGCTTACCTTTCCTTATGACGCAGGGTTGACATTTCTTTCTTGTTGGTGACACCCACTGTGTGCACAATGCGAGCATCCATGGTTGGATCTCGCTCCATCTCGCCTAGGCCCTTCACCGACTTCATCTTCCCGGCCAGCCACTCCCTCCCGAAGACTCAAGCTAGCCGAGGCCCTAGGCCCGGGCTTGGTTTAGATATCTCGAACTTTGTCCTTCAATAAATCTTACTTAGAAGCGTTAGATGTCTAATCATAGCCCTTCGTATTTGGATATCTTAAGTAGATGTAGACTTCCTGTGTTCCTGTTATGAATACCGATTATTTTAAGACTAGATCTAGATCTAGATCTAATTCGTGATGGGAAAATGTATTTGATGCCGTCGTTCACTTTATTTTTTTTATAACGCGCGCACGTCACGCGTTCAATTTAATTTCAAAGCGCAAAACAAGCGCATCGATGACGCATATTATGCTCTTACTATACTAAACCACATACAAATTGCTTGAGCGTATACGCGTATTTATGTTCGCGTAATTATGTAGCTATGACGTAATTAGGAAATCATGACCTCATATAGCCATAGTATTTGCAAAAGTTTGTTGAACTCTAATTATGTAAACAAAGCTTGTCGAAGTTTGTTTACATGAAAGAAAGGTTACCATTTGACCTACATCGTACATGTGATGGTTATCAATATATGTGATGATTATTTTACCTGACTGCATGCTAAGAAAGCATAAATGCTTGTAAGTAAGCAACCAGACCGCCAACGCCTTTAGGTCCTCTCCAAGGGACCTGGTACTGGTAGTGAGGATTAATGCCTTACCAAATGGCACTATAGCGCATCGCCTTGGTTTCGAACCCGGGTCACCGGATTACGAGACCACTGCTCTACCGACTGAGCTATCGCGCCTCCACATGTATTCTAGGATCGGAAAAAGTGGGGGGGGGGGGTGATCCAACGGGAGAGAGAGAGAGAGAGAGAATAAGAGGTTTTATGAGTATGGGTTTTATTCCAAGGGAATAACAGACTTCATCTCTCGACTAATTTAGATAAAGTTATTCTTGAAAAATTTAATTCATAGAATTATATCACCTTCTTCATTTGTATGAATTCGTGATTATTAAGGAGATCTAGTAAAATTTAAATTTGCGAACAGTGACCGCTAAAAGATTTTTGACCATAATTGATTTATTATGATTGATGCACAAGTATTAAAGGGCGTTAACTGTCTTTTGTTATTATTGGCTTCATTTAAAGATATAGACCAGTTTTGGAAACGCCCACGCTCAAAAAATTAAATGGAGCTCTTATTACCGATCATGTAAAAAAATATGTTTTGTCTAATGCGTGATGATACAAATTTTGACGGGAAACCGCCTACTTATTGATATATTTGGTTAATTATCATATTGATCCGGCCTGGATGGATATCGCGAATGCACTGAAACATTGAACATTTGGGCATATATTTCTGCGATTTTTTTTCTTTTCTTTTCCTTTCTTGCGAATTAGGTTGAAGTATTGCCATCTAAGCCTCTGAAGGCAATATGTAAACAATATTGAATGGATATTTGGCACCCAAAACCCTTGAACCGCAATTTTACCGCTACCGGTCTTTACCTTTAGAGAATAGAAACTCTTTTCTGATGCGATAACAACATGTTATATTTAAACTCATACACCTCGGCCTGATGTAGCAACTCTTCATAACTTCGTGTGCCGCTTGAGACCAATGTCTTTTACACCCATTTCTTGATGTAATATTTTTTGTGGTGCTTGATTTACTGGGTTTTTCGGTCTGGAGATCAAAACATTCATTTCAAGTTTAGAAATAATCACACAATGAATTTAGGCTTCCCGATGGGACCGTTGAATTTCATGCATAAGTTATTTATAATGAATTACCCAGCAGTGGACTGTGTTGGGATGCATTGATGTGCTGGTTGGTTCTCTTGTCTGAACACGGTTTTTGTTTTAAATATAAAAGCCAGTTCTTTAAAGGGAGGTAAAGGTAATTTGTACATAATTATAAATCCATCGAGATGTATGATGAATACGTGTTCTTGAAGAAAAAAATATTGAATTATTATTCATTAATCCACCGACGATACGTTCTATGATATACACAGATTTAAGTTTTCTTCTCATGGGGACAATCGGAAGATATCATGAAGCTCCTCCATAAGTTTGGGATTTGTTGTTCTTTAATGAACATAAAGTGTCACTTCTTTGTCTAAAATATCTGTGGAATATTTTTGTGCCATTTATCTTTCTACAAATTGGTCTGTTCAATGCCACAATGGTGATACAATTATTTGTTTGTATTGAAATGATCAATCCCGACCCCTTCCTTAAAAAAGGAATAACTCCCTCTGTTCCGAATAGCGTTTTTATCCCTCTCGCACCCCTCCCTTTCACTCCCTTTCACTCCCTTCGCTCTCTCTCTCTCTCTCTCTCTCTCTCTCTCTTATATTTACCCACTTTTTCAAAAAAAATGTGAATGTGCCAGGATTATTGAGATACATTTATTCGTAACGGATGAATGAATTAATTTGTATCGAGTCACTTCACAAAGACGTATGCATTAAATTTGGTGACATTACAAAAAAGGCTCATTGTATCCAATTAAAACTTGGATATCATCAATCTGCTTTCTTTAAAGAAATCTGGTATTAAATTGGGATTGCCTTTTAAATCTTACAGACCATGTATTAATATCAATGGCAGTATTGTATGCTTTAAATTGGGTTACATCTTCTCAGTAATAATAGTTGTAGATGTATATCATTTATATCTGATGTGATTTTCAAGTGCACCCTTGTGTTTGAGAAAGAAAATGAGTTTGGATAAATTACAAATGTGTCTCAAAACTTTTCTTTCATATTCATATCCAGAATATTTCCTTATTTATTTCTGCTTGATGACAATATTATATTTTACATAATCATTTTCATGAACTTGCCCTCATGCTTTATAAGGCACTAGTGACAAATTTAATAAAACCAAACAAATCGGTGTCAATTAATATGTACAGGCCTGCAGCACAAATATTTTGAGAAATTAAATTATAATGAAGTATTCAAAAATTTAAGACCCCTTTTACTGAAACATGATTCATTTTGTTGCACGTTCACCCGATTCACACAATGAACTAAGTATGAAGCGCTATTACCCGCCTAAATATAAATGTAAGAAACATATAACAATCATAATAGTTAAAAATTAAAATAAATAACCAACAATACATATTGCTTATTTCATTACTTGATTCATTCAAAGCTGGAAGTCTTTGGATCAAAAAGCACAGCATATGTTAATAATGAAGAAATGATGTAAAATACATAACTATGCATATTTGTATTTAAAATTCTTCTTCATTATTTAAAACTGCAATTCCTTCAATGTAAATTTCCATGGCAACAGGATAAATGAATTTAAATAAAATGAACAAGTGTCCATTACGTCATTTCATTATAATGGCATTGTATTTGTTGATTTATTAATAAGCCGAGAAACCGGAAGAAATGGTCTCGGAAAAGAGTTACAAATATCAAGATCAGGACATCAAACACTCCATAGACATTAACCATTGTCTTGTCCTAATATAGATTTGTTATGATGATTAACATAAAGGATATTGTCTTTTGGAGGCCAGAAGGATGTTAACTCATACCAATTTATATGAAATATAATAGGGCTCCAAACAGACAATAGTTTCCTGAATACTATCGCACATGTCCATTACCAGATACTCTTATGAACATGCAGATCCAGGTTCAAAACAATGATGCATTTACATGTAGTATCTATTAGATGAAGGACTTTAATCGATTGATTGCCAGCATGCACATAATGGCTTTACGTGTGGATTATGGTGTTGTGATCACAACTTGACCCGACTCATGCACCTTGTTCTTCCTATGAGACGGTGCTTTATGAATAACAAAATTATCAGCAAACTACTAATTTTGTTTACAGTTACAGACAAAGGGCCAATGTAAAGGATAAATGTGTGAATGAGCTACTCATAAGTGGATTTGGACTTTGTTCATTTGACGCAGTAACCAGCATTGATTGTACAGCCTTTGTTTTTGACACAATATACAAATTAAATATATTAGCACAGAAAATACCACTTAGCGTTCCAATTTGAATACACTTACAATGAACATAATTATACAGGTAAATATTACACTAACTTCTTCAACAGAAGAAGAACAATATTCAGGAAATTACTGATTTAGATATCTTTACAAGTTTCCTTTAAATTTGTAGGAATTCTATTTCAATATGACCACTACAGCATACCCTTAATTGTAGCTAGTACATAGCCTATTAATCACATGCTCTAATATCATGATTACCTAAAACATAAAGAAGTATTTCATTTCCTGAGATAAAAGAGGGTACAATTTTTTTAACTTTCCCATTATCAAATAATTTCCTGCCATTCCAACTTTATTTCCTTATTCTATTGGTTTCTGTTTCTGATATAATGAGATTCCACTGTATGAAACAAATCATGTATTTATTAGATTTTACATATTTAGATAACTTATGTTTCAAATAAAGCATAATTATGTCCAAATTCAAGAAGGCTTTGAAACAACAGAAAGGAAATTTAACTTTAACAATTGGCATTTACAAGTATTGATTGCCACAGAGTTGATAACTTACAAACTTTTGGGAATGCAAAAGCCCCTTCTACATCCCGCCCGCCCCCATCCCCCCCCCAAAAAAAAAAAAAAAAAAAAAAAAAAAAAAATTAAAAATGACACAATATATAATATATAACTTTCCCATTATCAAATAATTTCCTGCCATTCCAACTTTATTTCCTTATTCTATTGGTTTCTGTTCCTGATATAATGAGATTCAACTGTATGAAACAAATCATGTATTTATTAGATTTTACATATTTAGATAACTTGTGTTTCAAATAAAGCATAATTATATCCAAATTCAAGAAGGCCTTTAAACAACAGAAAGGAAATTTAACTTTAACAATTGGCATTTACAAGTATTGATTGCCACAGAGTTGATAACTTACAAACTTTTGGGAATGCAAAAACCCCTTCTACATCCCCCGCCCCCCCCCCCCCAAAAAAAAAAAAAAATTAAATTAAGAAATGACACAATATATAATATATAACTTTCCCATTATCAAATAATTTCCTGCCATTCCAACTTTATTTCCTTATTCTATTGGCAGGGAATAATTTTCCTGGTATCGCATCGCAATTTGCTATGCATTTTTGCATGACTGCTATACAAAATATCTTTTGTGTAGCAGTTTTCTTCCATAGAAATGTACAGAATTTCATTTGAAATATTTATCCATCGGTTGAAATTGCTAATCAAAAAATTTGAGGAAAATTATTCCCTGCTATTGGTTTCTGTTCCTGATATAATGAGATTCCACTGTATGAAACAAATCATGTATTTATTAGATTTTACATATTTAGATAACTTATGTTTCAAATAAAGCATAATTATGTCCAAATTCAAGAAGGCCTTCAAACAACAGAAAGGAAATTTAACTTTAACAATTGGCATTTACAAGTATTGATTGCCACAGAGTTGATAACTTACAAACTTTTGGGAATGCAAAAGCCCCTTCTACATCCCCCGCCGCCCCCCCCCCCCCCCCCCCCAAAAAAAAAAAAAAATAAAAAATAAAAAATCAAAAAAAAATGACACAATATATAACATATAACTTTCCCATTATCAAATAATTTCCTGCCATTCCAACTTTATTTCCTTATTCTATTGGTTTCTGTTCCTGATATAATGAGATTCCACTGTATGAAACAAATCATGTATTTATTAGATTTTACATATTTAGATAACTTATGTTTCAAATAAAGCATAATTATGTCCAAGTTCAAGAAGGCCTTCAAACAGAAAGGAAATTTAACTTTAACAAATGGCATTTACAAGTATTGATTGCCACAGAGTTGATAACTTACAAACTTTTTGGAATGCAAAAGCCCCTTCTACATCCCCCGCCGCCCCCCCCCCCCCCCCCCCCCAAAAAAAAAAAACGTTTTGGAAGTAGGCCATTTACCCAAGCTTTAGTTCTAATAGCACTAATCAACAAATACTGCATTACCAGAAATTAAACAAGAAATACTGCACTACAAGGAATTCTTCAACAAATACTGCATTACAAGGAATTCATCAACAAATACTGCATTACAAGGAATTCATCAACAAATACTGTATTAACTGGGGGGGGGGGGGTGTTTCACAAAGATCCTAAGTCAACTTAATTAGAAACAACATTTTATGCCTTTTAAAATATCTTTTACAAAATATTTTCAAAGATGCTAGTGGCTTTTCATAATTGTTAAGTTCAATTTAGGATCTTTGTGAAACACCCCCCAGGAATTCATCAACTACAAATGAGTAAAGAGAGACATCATAGATGAAGTGCCTCCTCCGTGTATACACCACACATGGAATCAAACACTTGATTCCAAGTCTAATGGAAATATGCACTAAAATACGCCTGCATATTCCCACTTCATGACCTTGAACATCAAAATGGTTTACATTTTAAATCACATTTACAGCAAACTTAGTTTGAACATAAGAAAGCACGTAATTCACACTTCACTCTAATTTTTAAAAATGCATATATAATTGAGCACATGATTGCAATGTACAATTTGAAATAGATACAAATGTTTTTATGTATAGTTATATAAAGATCTTTTTAATACTATATACATGGCACTAGGATAAAGGAAGAAAGAAATTCAAACCATTTTCTCCTGATCATCAAATACCACCGATACACTTCGGTACTCCACTAATATCCATACCGAATAAACTGCTAGCCTCCATTTTGAGATAAAAATTCCGGTAGGAAAATATCGTAATTTTTGTGACTTAGTAATCATTGAGGTCAAAAATAAATTAGGGTTAGATTTTATTTAAAGCCTAATTTGTACCAGTTTTTAGGAAAAAAGGGGTCATTTATTGTAGAAAATGTTCTTGAAAGTTTAGCAAATAGGGGATCATTTTCAACTCCACGAATGATCATGCGTTAACCCTTGGATAATGAAGTGAAACAGTTGGTAGATACATCATTATTTTTGTCGCTAAATATTTCAGTCCAGACAATAGTCCACTGAGTTAAGTGTTAACCCCTTCATCTTGTAAAAAGGTACCAACATTTTGTAACTAATTGAACACACTATGATCTCAATTTCTCATTATCGTTTCATTCATTAAACTATTTTGTACAGTTTAACACTTGGCGCTCTATGATTATGAATATGAGCCCACAAGTTTGCACTATTTATATCTCAGAAAGGGGAAATAGAAATGTTGATTTTATCACTACAAATACTGCAACCAACCCTCTCCACTGCAGGACCACTCAATCAAGACTAGAGAAAAAAAAGGTCTTGGAAGTTTATAAACAGATTTAAACTATCTCAGGCTACACACAGATATGCGATAGTAATACTTCTCGGTCACAGACAATTTAGGGTTCTGATGATCTTAAAGGCCATTTTTTAAACTTTAAGATAAACCCAAGTTCTGATGATGCGACTGAATTGTGAAAGAAACTATTTGGAAGCGACTGGAAAAGGTTAATTGTATAGGACATATGTATTGGCATTTATTATGAGGTTTTGGAATCATCAAAATGATAAGGCGGTGAATGAGTCTTGCACTGTACACAGAAATGTGTATGTGGGACTACCCATACAGCTACATGTTATACATGTATTTTAAATGTGAGGGCATTGGAAGAGCCATCCTTTTCTATAATATTCTTACTAACAAACAAATAATGAAAAGCTCACATTTTTTTAACTTTCACAAAACTCGGCCCTCATCTTTAAATAACTTTCCTGTCAGTCAAATTTCTAATACCTCATTAGAATTGCCAAACTGACTCCACTCTCGACCATTTCTTGGACACTTGTGGTAAAGTAAAAGTTTGTTTTCGATCTGTTGTCTGTTTCGTTGGTGTGGCTGGGGTATAAGACTAGTTTGGCAGCGTTGCATTAGGCAAGGACGTAGTACGATGACTTCCTCTGAAGCATTCGTAGTAGGAAAGGTGATGGAAACATAGGCTCCACCATCTTCTAGAAAGGCACTTCTCAAAAGCCTAAGGAACATACAACATGGCGGCAGCTACATGAATCAGTGTAGGTGTATCAGATGATCACGAGAGCATGGCTGGCTAAGAATTGACCTATGACCTCCGGTGACCTTTGGTTGGGGTCAGCAGCATCGACCTCTCTTTTTCTTTTCTTTCTGGTTCCTCAAGTTGACCGTGTCCGTGCCGTAACTTGGTACTAAGACTTCCGGTGGAAGTTTTTTACCTGTGCAAAGTTGACAGAGGAGATCAAAAGTGTGAAAAAAGTTTAGAGGCATGTATATTGCTAGTTTTTATTTGCTACTTGTAATTCACAACACTAGCTAATGGGACATTTTGTTAAATGTTTTCCTTTTGTTTTATACATTCATTTAAATTAAACCCAAAGATTTATTGACATTAGACTTGCATATTCTGAATACACATAAAAGTAATGTCAATTGGATTTGCCTGTGAATTCTATTAGACTGGGGTTACTTGCTTATATCCTTCACTGTAAATATTTCAATTAAAAATAAGTAATGCTGTATGTACTATACAAAATTAAGTGACTGCACAGCATTCTTACAAGTACTAGTACAACATATCTGTCTGCCCTCACACAAATATAAAATTAATGTACATAAATACTACATTGACTCCACTTTGTCTGTGTTGTTTGTTACTTGCAGGATGGTAGAAACTAATGCATGCAACAGAAAGTGCATACTGCCCTCTATGTTCATTTTATGTCATGAGGAACCTTTAGATAATATTTTTTCCTTCAATAATGAATTATCAAAAATGTAAATTCTGTAGATTTGTGACCATGATTTTGGACATCCCTTGAGACACCAATGCCAGTAAATGGTGAGAGCAGACAGTGGCATGAACGGCCTGCCATGAAGTCCAACCTAAAGTTGATCTTAGTCTTTGGGAAACACCTCCCTGAAAGAACAGACAATTGAATTACCCCCACTGGCCCAAAGTCTGTCGGTCTGAGGTCGGATTGGAGGTGTAACTGACTAGCTTAAAATTAACACCCCTTTAAAAACCCTTTGGTCCATATACTAAGATTTTAACCTGATGCTGGGTTTAAGCTTTTGACCAAAAATCAGAATTTCAAAAACAAAGGAAGTTAGTCAGAGGTCAAGCTCTTCCTAATGCTGAACATGTATTATCTTCGACCCAGAATCAGGTTTAACTGATTTTCGTAATGTACGGGTAAACAAATTTATGCGGATGTCTTTGTGGAGCACCTCGATATGCATTATTTCATTCACCTCAATTCTATCTCAATTGCAGATTTCAAATTGCAACATTAGTTGTTGCTAGGTAGGACCAACATTGTGGCTTGCCCTACCTAACAACAAGTAATATATGCACTTTGCATTCTGACTATTGAAATACAATAATTATTCAAGATAAACTTGAGTTCTGGTAATGCGATTGCATTGTGAAAGAAAAGGTGTGGAATGGATCAGAAAAGTTGATCATATAGCATGTAAGTAATGGTGTGTAATGCAAGGTTCTGGAGTCATCAAAATCATCATAAATTTGGCAAAGTCTTGGTAAAGTAACAATCACTTACACAGAAAGCTGTACATGGGACAACACACATGTTGTCGGGGCTGGTACTACCCTGATTTCCTTATCTTTCTATGCTCATTACTCAGCCAGTATACATTTCCTTCCAAAATTGTTTGGCACATGACATTTATTTGTAATCTTGAACATTCAGTGTAAGTTTCGTTAGATTCTGTGAGAATTCATTTTCTTTTTTACCACAACTCAAGTTTATCTTTAACATGTGAATTAAATAATTTGTAACAGGGCACTGAAGTATAAATTTGGTTACATTACGAAAATGGCATATAAGTAGAGTGGTTCACATACTCTTGCAGCTGTATAACCCATACTCACTAATTGCAATGAATAATTCTTTGATATTTGCTGCTGTCTTGGCGCTCGTTTCCGTGAATACCGCTCCGACCTCTTCAGCATATTCCGCGGCGATCTTGACCGGAATCTCTCTTAAATCCTCTAAATCACACTTGTTCCCAGCTATTGATATAACAATGTTCTCTGGACCATGTTGTCTCAACTCTCGGATCCAGTCTCGTACTTTACTGAATGATGCCTGGCAGGTTTGATGTTAGCAGATATAGGGGAGAAAAAGAGATACCGGTACACAGAATTATACATCTTTGGCAACAAATTGAAAGTTCACGGAAAGGGAAAGTCCACCCTGATAGTTATTTGGTGTTAATAAGAGCAGAAAAATGACAGCAAAGTATCATTAAAAATGAACTTATACAATTTTGAAGTTGTTGTCATACTCAAATTGGCAACTCTGTGACTCATACAGAGCAAATGGCAGAGGACACCGAAAGATAAGTCATAGAGTTGCCTATTTGTGTTTGGCCGAATACAACAAGAATCTATAACTTTTTCATGGGATGGTGCTCACTTTCACTCATCTGTTTCTCATCTATTTTCAGCTTCTATTGATATCATTATTCGATATCTCTTTTATACAGGTAGTGCCAATGGGCCACTTTGAAAAATTGAGCAAATCTACATAATACATGAACAAAAAAACAGAAGATTTGACCACTGGAGACTAATTTTTTAAATATAATCTTGTCACTCTTACAATGACTATACATGTAGGCAATGCAATATTCAACAAAGATAAACAATCGGTGGAAATGACAACTTTACATATCATTTCCACTAAAAATATCATCGTTGGATAATAAAGCTAAATAAAGATATTGGCAACTTGGCTAACTTCCTTAAAGGTCACCTTCCCTTCCACAAGTTAAAGATGAAGTTGAGTTCTGGTCATGTGATTGCATTGTGAAAGAAACGGTGTGGAATCTATCAGAAAAGGTTGATCATCTAGTATATAAGTATTTGTGTGTATTGCAAGGTTCTGGAATCATCAAAATGATAAGAAATTTGGCCAAATCTTGGCGAAGTTACATGCACTGTACACAGAATGATGTATACGGGACTACACAAGCACATGGCGAAAAAAACCTACCCCCCAATTTTTACGTATTTTATGTCATATTTAGAATATGAAGGCATTTGAAGAGCCATGCTTTTCATGGAACATGTTTAATCTGATGTTCTTCCACCCTTGCATAATAACAATAACGCTCACAAATTATTTTTCACCTCTTCCCAGAACTCAACCTTCTCTTTAAGACACACAATTTTGATAGCTCACGATCAATACCTACATGTACAACCACTTCTAGTAAATCGCAATCTACGATCTACATTGTAGGAGACATTTAGCAGTACACAACTTTTCCATTGCTGGTCAAGCAAAGCTTGTTTAAAGCTTGTTGACAATTTTCTTGCAAAAGTTTTAGGCAACAAAGGAATACTTCTAAGACAAAATACTTTGATCAGTTTGAATTTATACATGTACATCAGACATATAACATGTGTATACTGTACATTGTGGGGGTTTTGGAGAGAAACACGTATAAATTAGTAAAGCGCATAGACATGCAATTATGCCTACCAGTATATGCTGTGCGCTATACACAACATTCAGTTATTATTATTATTATAAATTGAAATACATGTACATATATCTATTGCCTTTTCGGTTGAGTCTAATAGAACTGACAGCATCCCTATATTTTTTCATTTCACTTTACTGCATCAACACAATATTCCAAAACATAAAATGAAGCTGCATACATACTTACATGTATGTAACACCAAGAATTTGACAACTTTTTCATTTCGATTTCTAAAGCAGGAAACTTGTGGTTTATGGCAAAAGTTAGTATTGTGTCATAGTGTGACTTAGTTCATATTTCATGGCAGCAATTGTCACAAATCTTAAATACTTGTGAAATTTGTTGAAAATTAATATGTGTAAAAGTTTCTGATTTTAATGTATATTGTCTGTTCTGAGCCAGAAAGGCATTACCGTAACCATTGAAGTATATGAGTTAACACTAACTATGCTGTGTGAACTTATGGCCGGATTGTGTGGAAATAACATTAAGAAGAAGAATTTGAAAAAATCTAGAGAACAAAAGTAACAGAAATTGTGTAATTTCACCATATTTAAAACCTTTTTAATAGTGTATGAAAATGTCAAGTCTTATTGAAAATGTATGTTGGAAACATTCAAATATCAAATTACATGGAATACCCCCCCCCCCTCTTCCTTCTCATTCAAGACAAGACAAGAAACTTTGTTTAAATCATGCATGGCCTAATCATATCATGTACATAATACATGTATATATTCATGGCAGTATTGTGAGTCTACTGTACATGTAACATATGAGATCAACTTGAAGATATGGAAAATAGGACGATATTGTAGGTAGAAGGGAAAGCAAAAGGCTTTGGAAGGAAGGAAGTGCTCAATTGCGCTCATAGCAGTAACAGAGGATTTTTGTTACTTGTGATTGCGGCAAAGGCATCCTGGCTTTACTTAGCAGAACTTGGATTGGACGATGGGAACAAAATAGCTGCGGAAATGTGCAATAGATTGACTCTACAAATATTCATAGGGTGGCAGTGATATGAGGAATACTAGAAAAGTTGCAATTTGCTCTTTTAAGAAGTAATATTCTATTAAGCTGGAGTTTTTCTAATAATGCATAACAGTATAGAACAAAAAGCACTCAGATCATATCGTTTTGGGGGTGATTGGTTCTCTTCCATTTTTCTCACCGTTTTACATGTACATTTTGCAATGAACAAGATTACAAGCATACAATGGGCAATTAGAAGTTCTCTAAGACTATGGAACGACAATCAGGAATAACGATCACAAGCCATGCCTTTCTTTACACACTAGCATGTGATAATTTGGTCATGGTTGATTATAAATAGACAGTTGATTCACCTCAACCAGCAGGCTAAGTTGTAGATCTATCTACAATGTATGTGAAACAGGCTACTGCACAACAGACTACCTACAATGTACATGAGGCAGTGTGGATCTCTGGCACTTGCGTCTGCGACAATCGACTACAATTTCCTAAACTGATCAAAATTCTTCACTTCAACCCTGGACCCAACACTGACCCTTACCTTAAACCTACATGTACATGTACTGTCTAAACTTAATTGCAAAGCTAACCCTAACCCTAACCTTAAACCTACCTGATGATCTAAAACTCAATTGCAGTACTAACCCTGACCCTAACCTTAAACCTATCTGACGGTCTGAAACTCAATTGCAACACTAACTCTTACCTTAAACTTTTAATACCTGACAGTCTAAAACTTGATTGCAACGCTAATCCTAACCCTAACCTCAAACCTACCTGACAGTCTAAAACTCAATTGCAACGCTAACCCTGACCTTAACCTTAAACCTACCCGAGTCTAAAACTCAATTGCAACGCTAACCCCAACTCTAACCTTAAACCTACCCGACAGTCTAAAACTCAATTGTAACACTAACCCTAACCTTAAACCTACCTGACAGTCTAAAAGTCTATTGCAACGCTAACCTTAACCCTAACCTTAAACCTACCTGACAGTCTGACTAAAACTCAATAGCAACACTAACCCTAACTTTAAACCTACCTGACAGTCTAACACTCAATTGCAACACTTAACCCTAACACTAACCTTAAACCTACCCGACAGTCTAAAAATCAATTATGATGCTAACCCTAACCTTAAACCTACCTGACAGTCTAAAAATCAATTGCAACGCTAACCCTAACCCTAACCTTAAACCTACCTGACAGTCTAAAACTCAATTGCAACGCTACCGCTAACCCTAACCTTATACATCTGACAAAATACAGCCTAGAGCAATTGTTGCAGGAGCAAATGTCAGGTCAGCACTCCACCACATGCTTCAATAACAATTGCCCCCCCCCCCCCCCAATTTGTTTTATCATTTTAATTTAATGTATGTTTACTTTTTACAGTTTGTACATTCAATTAGTTTCAGCCATACAGCCACTAATCTACTTCAATTACAATTTGGAATCTAAAAATAAAATATAACCCCAAAGTAATAGTTTGTAACTATTGGCTGCCTAATTATAATAAAGAAATGCACCATGTTGTACCACTATCAGATGATTTGTTAACATATCAGACCAGGGCCTTGTCTCCAAAAGAGAACTTATTTATGATTGATGTCAATCTAAATTATGTAAATAAGAGATACGAGACTGCAAACTTGTGATCAATCACAACTCGTTATAAGACGGGCTCTGGAGTCCCCCTACAAACACAACTGATTCCTCAAAGAATAGTTCAAATAGAAAAACCTTCAAAGAAATTTGGCTTAAAAAGACAAAGAAGTCAGAATTTCAGTTCTTATAAACAAATAAAGACCACTCAATTAAAGTCTTCAAGCAGTAATTATATACATTGAATAAAAAAAATTAGAAAAAGAACTAGATCTTTGTGTCTTCAATCTTAATACACAGTTTACTTATTTTGACAATTCGTCTGTCAACACATGTGTATTACTTTTAAGGAAAAGTTCTGTGAAGTCTAGATGAATTAATTCATTCAAAAAGAATTGATTTCTGTAAATGGGCTAAGGGATCACTACCTTTGTAGCAAAAGCAAAATCATGCACTTCTTTCTCTGTGGTTTGCTTTCTGGGAACGATATTAATTTGCAATCCACTAAAGATACTTCTCAATTTTATTCAGCCATTCATCCGTCGTTTACAAATAGACATTTTCGGACTTATCTCCGTCTTTGGTCGTAATTCAAATCCTGTGTACGCCTCCAGTTTATAGCAACACTTGTCTTGAGCCTAGATACTATCACGGCACGCTTGACATTAATCCAGTAATCAGTGTAATAAGCTGGCAATGCTGCTGCTTACAGTTACAAGGCATGTATCGTACGTAACCAGGCAAGTTTCCTTTTCACTGTACTTTCCACTCGATGGCTCAAGGGCCAGAGCGGCCTATTTCAGGAAACAATGAATGACTCATTACTACTGCAGCGACAACTACCTTCAGAAACAGAAACATTGAACAGATTCATCAGGCATGTTTCCTTGCTGCGTGAGAGACAGAAGAACAGTTTTGGCATGAATGCACATGCACAGGCCATGCAAGTGTATTTGTTTCTGGCACAGAGAATTGAGAATATGGTTTTTAAACAAAGGGCAACAGTAGTGTTCTCACCTCTCACATTCTGATATATTGCCTTAATATGCCAGACTAGAAGACTTGTTAAATACTCATAACACGGAAAGGATCAACGCTATATGCCTAAATATGGGCTAAGTGTCCAAGCCTGGAAGTACTGAATGATCCTGCTGTTCTTTTGGTTATAACAGAAAAATACCAAAAGACATATTTCCTTGGAATCATTACACTGCATACATGTATATGGAATAAACAGACATAAAGGAAAACAAAAGGTCATTTAAATCGTGAAAAGGATATTGTTTGCTAGTCTATAGTATTTTATTTTTACCTAGTATTTTATTTACAACATGTATTTTGCTCCACTTATTGGAGTAAAAAGAAAGAAAAAAAATTCAGATACAAATATTGTACAATTTACGTTTTCTTTATACAGTCAAACCTGTCTATAGCGAACACCCAAGGTTAACACAAAAAGTGGGCATTGTAGACAGGTGGTCTTTTTAGTAGACAGGTTCCTTTAGTACATGTTTCAATGAGAAACCCATTTCAAGGGAAACAAAAAATGGGGTCTTTGTAGACAGGTGGTCACTAAAGGAGGTTTGACTGTAGTAGACTTCCATCCTGACATCACATTAATCTGAATAAAAGCAGAAATCAGAGACATACACTGTATGATCAATGATGGTGAAAGTTTGAAAAGAACCCATAAAAGAGATGAATTCTTTCAGTTATGCATAGCTATCAAAAACAAAAACAAAAATTGGCAACCCCATTGTTTTTCTCATATAAAAAATAAATTAAAAAGATATCCTCCTGGAAGACATATTTTGAAACATTTGACATTTTAGTCAGTTTGTGTCGTTAAAAAGCTGTCCAAACTTCATGGGTGGTATTCCGATAGCGCATACTAAGTTAAGCCTGGCTTAACTTAGTCCACACTTTTATGGAGTGCCTGTTGCCAACTCATTTACCCTGTACGGATTTTTTTAATCCTGCAGTGAATAGTGTCCAAAAAATTAATTTTGCAATGAAATGGGAAGAAAAAATAATGAGTATGAACTGAATTTCAACAAAGTCTTTGGTAGATTATCTTTGTCATGAATATTGAAGGAGGAAGATGAAACCCAGCATTCCATAGAAGTGTGAACTAAAATTCTTGATAAGTCTGGACTTAGTCTCGACTTAACTTATGAGAATGCCACCCCATAGATCCAACCAATTTCAGAATTTCCCTATAGTGATTAAAACTTTCACAAATTCATATCTTTCTTACTGTTTTTCTGATTTTGTTCAAACTTTCACCGATCTGCTTGTCTGATTTATCTGCTTCTGTTTAGAGCAGTTTGAGGTAAGGTTGGATTTCCCTTTAAAACGTGAAAGGCAAGCAGAAGAACTTACCTGACTTGTGATGTCATAGACCACTATAGCTGCAGCAGCTCCTCTATAATACATGGGTGCTAAACCTCGATACTGCAAAAAAGAAAATTAGACATAAGTCAGACAAAAGACTTACACTTCATGTTGATTTTGTACTTTTCAAAGATAATAAGCCATGAGAAAAGAAAGCACTCTTTCATTGATTTCAATATGAGTGTTTGTTCTCTTTTGTTGTAGTTGTTGACGTTTTGTGTTGCTTTTGTTTTGGCTTGCTTTGTATTGTTTTGCTTTGTTTTGTTTTTGTTCATCTTTTGATCATAATACTAAAAAGCAAATACATACATTTTTAACCTACACTTTTTCAGGTACTTGTTTTTTTTTTAAAGGCAGGTTAGTGGTGAGAATTGAAGTTTGGAGAGGAGTGTGAAACTTTTTCAATTCATCAAATTTTCTGGTCACCCCCCCCCCCCTTCAAACAAATGAAAAACAAACAACAACAAAAAGAATGCTGTCCGTACTATTGTGACATTACATGTAACAGATGCAGACTTCTAGTAAAGCCCTCAAATGTAAATAATGGCAAAATGGCATAGAAAGCCATCTACATGTACAATATTGTACTGAGAAAACAATGCATATAATTTGAAGGGAAAAATGTCCAATACTGCAACATATAAATCATTCAGAAAAATCAATGGGGATTATGAACTTAGAGAGAACTGAATTATCACAAATTTGTTTCCCCTTTTTAAATTATTTTGTTAAATCATATATACATGTACACCGCTTTTTCATTTCTTTGGGTCTTCACAACTTCAGGTTAAACAAACTTTTGTGAATAGCCAAGCCCCAATTCCTGAAGGGTTGGGCGTAATGTTTGTGAAATATACCCCTTTTATCACCAAATTATTGGGACCATTTCACCCGGCGTTTTCAGTAAAAACCTACAGCAAATCAACCAAAGCTTGCGTATCAACCCAACACTTTTTAATACGAGATAAATAATTACAAGAGTTCATAAAAAGGCCAGCAATTGTCAATTCGCCATTGTCTGATTGTATGGCTTATTTTCACAAATGTACCAGTACATGTTTAATGATTAGCTTCATGTCAAGGGCCATCTTTTGAACAAAAATTGTGAATCAGCAAATTTTGTGAATTATGGGGTATGTTTTCACGAAAGGTTGTGTAAACCGACAATCCGACATGAGTCTATCCGATGGAGCACAGTAGGCCCATATACACTGTAGGCCTACATGTATGTCTTGATACATACCGGTAGACATTCTTTTAACACCCCCCCCCCCCCCTCATAACCTGCAAACAACACTTTACCTTTTCTTGACCTGCTGTATCCCAAATTTGAAATTTGTACATCTTTTCATCAACCGCTAACGTCTTGGACATAAATGAGGCACTGCAGGAGAAGGAAAAAAAAAAGCAATACCAGTATTAACAATTTGCAATATCTAATTTCTTTATAATAATAATAATAATTATATTGGATATTTATATAGTGCACATATCCACCATGCATGGTGCTCAAGGCGCTTAAAAGTAGTTGTATAAAAAAGGAGTAATTGTATCAGAAGTAAAGTGACTTGTATAAAGAAAAGTGTAATAAAATGAATATAAAAGTGATAAGAAAATATCTTTCATGGATAACTTGTACATGTAATTGTAGGAACTTGAAATTGATGTCTTACACACATAATGTACTTTGAGGACACACAATCCTCAAGTGTATAGTGCACATAGACATTTTATGAGATCATTTGTCAGCGCAGGGTTATAAATTTCTCATTTTTTCTACCTCTGAATTGTTTAATATTTCACTTAAAGAGGAAAAACTTCACATTACAGTTTAGCTTAGTATTGCTCGTATCTGGCTAAACATCATGTAAAATAAGAGAAATCTGACCAACATTTATACCCCATACACAGTATATAAAGTGTCTGCCAACTCTATGAGGTACCAATATGTATGACGTTTCTTCTGAACATACATGTATGCTGCTGAACCATGTGTTCAAGTCAATACTCAATTCTGATTTGGGAGAGAAGATTAGTAATTAAACATTTCACAATTTTTCTTCACATTCCGGTTGCTTAACTAATTCATGATGACTAACAAAGATGGTCAAAGGTAGATACAGTAAAATGTTTTATACAAGGTTGCAAATAAAAAAAATACAAGCCTATCATAAAAAATCTCCTAAAAAATGACAGACCATGTGTAAATCTATACAGTGCGTATTTAAAAAAAGTGTACCCAACTTTGGTAGCTCCTACATGTAATTCAATATTCATAACCAATATGACTTTAAAATATTTTTCATGATAACGAGTAACTGATTTTCTGTCTAATGAAGTAGGGCATTTCGATTGAGAAATCTGCCACAATATTCTTTGAGAAGGAAATACAGGTATTTCACTTTGTATTTGGTTTTCTTATCTCTGACACTTTGGACTGATATTTTGTCATAACCCATAATCTGTACAGATACTTAGTGTACCGGTAGTCTAAACATTATTTTTGGCAATGATACAAATCAGGGTATAACAACAAGACTGAAATATAAGTAATAACAGTGTATGAATTACTTCTCCAAATAGGGAAAGTTGCACTTTCATCCACTGCTTTACTTCATCATTGTGTCTTTTGTGAATGCAATAAAAGCTCAAAGAACACACAAGGATTACATCATTACATTATCAATTTCCCCTTACACACTCATTCAAGTTATATTCATTTGGCTAGAGGGAAAACTTTAGGTGTGTCCTCATCAGCTCGAGATTGCCAAATAGTCCACTATTTCTGATTCGGGAAATTAGCCCGAAGTTACAAATCGCGTCTTCATCAGCTCGAGACTCAAAACTCAAGATATTTTGCTCAGTGTTCGTGCATAGTGCCAGTCTTTGGGCTGGTGAAGACGGACCGGTCATGTAGCCCAAGATGATTTCCTGAGCAAATAGCCTGTTATTTTCGTCTTCACCTGCCAAATAGCCCGCTGTTTCATGATCGGGCTATTTGGCATCTTGAGCTGATAAAGAAAGGCCTATCAAGTAGTCTGGACAAGTGGACATCATCTAATCGACCAGTGGTCTTGAACATTCCTTTAAGTTTTCATTGAATCCCATGAGGATTACACCCCATTCATCTGCAAGAATATTCAGAATTAAAGGGGGAAGAGTTACAATGTAAATAGATGAAGCAAAAATAAATACTCACCCTATAGTTGGAGGGATGGATTCATAATACGTATCACTCACAAATCTTTGAACTATACTGGATTTACCAACTCCCGAGTCCTGCACACAAAAAGAAAATGAAACAAAAACAATATATTCATACAATAATCAAACGGCTTTGAGATTAAAACAAGGAAATATTGGATGAGCTACGTTGTACATGTATGACCAACAACCAAAATTGAGTCGTTTTAGACTTTGTCTTCAAGTCATCCATTACTGGCATTTATGTCATGTAAACATTTTATACAACTATAGAGGTTCATTCCATAACAGGGGAAGCCCACCTTGATATTAAGTTGGTTTTAATGGAAACAGACAAATGAGAGAAACAGGTCAGTGAAAGTTTGAGCAAAAACCAATACAAAATAAGAAAGTTATGAGTTGTTAAAGGTGCAATCAATCAAACACAAATTCACAACTTGTTGACATATCTTGCAAGGTCCCTTCTCATTTGTTACATGTACATGTACAGTGTATGTACTAAAAAAAACTTCAAAAGTCTATATTTTCCCTTTAAAAAAAGGTAGTCATACATTCACCTTTAATATAATAATTGCAAATGTGTTTTTGATACAACCCCTGTATCAAACAAATCTATTCTGTCCTCAAAGACTAAGAAAATGAAAGTTTATAAATTTGATTATGTACAGAACAAATTGGAGAGGAGCTCACAAGATACATTGCAGTGTTTCCCTAATGACAACTTCACAAATTCACAACTTTCCTATCTTTAATCGGATATTGATCAATGTGAAAGAGGATGTTTGAAGTCAAATATTGATGAAAGAATACAAAATTTAGGTTTTCTGCGTACAACAGAAAACCCAAATTATGTATTCTTATTTCTTTTATCAATATCTGTCTTCAAACACATTTTGGGGGGAAATCTTTGCAGAAGTGTGGCTTAAATGACATCCTCTTTCATATTTTGATACAATTTAAGTGAAATTTTGCCATCCAATTTTTGGCGAATTGGGGGTTCCCAACACTTACATGTAAGAGGAGCTTTAAACCAGGCTTATAGTACATGTAGTTTCTGGAAGGTTATACAATGTAGAGATGGTGCACAGGTGTACACGTATAGTTGTATACATGTACAGTACATACATTTACTATACAAATTACGAAAACTGATCATAATGAGAATACATGTAATGTATGACAATACCAGTTCTTGGGGTGTCTAGTGTGACACAGAATTTTAGAACAACTTGTCTAGTCCAACATATATTTCAATTTTAATTACTGAAGACCCCAAAAAGTGAGTAGGAAATAGGGGGGTTGACAATTCAATCATGCTTATTTGCCTACATACATGTATGAGTCATAAAATTATGTATTGGAATATTTTTAATTTTGCACCAGTGACACTTATCCATTAAAGAAATTAATGAGGCAACAAATTGACATTATTCATTTCACTGAGCCAATACCGCCATGGTTCAATTATCCTGACACAGCCATACAAGTGGAACCCAAGATGTATATTTATAATTTTTTGTATCCCATATATCTGTAACAAAATTTATGAGAATAGAAAATGAAAATTGAGTTAAGACTCACAAAATGCAATCATTCTTCTTGATTCTTGTGTAAAAATAACTTCTAAGACATTTTCTTTGGAACTTTTACAACCACTAATCAACTTCATTTTCTTTACTACGCTTTATGCTAATTACTGTCTTATTAACTACCGGGTAACAGTTTATTCATCTGTGACATCATTGAAACTGAAAGCCTTGTTGAAAATACTTCCATATCATTTACCTCTTATCCTCAACCATACAGTGCTCACTGTATTTATTTCTGCTTAATAATGATCATAAACATAGCACTTGAAGACAATTAAACTTTGGTCAGGTTTATTAAAATCTGTATACAGTACAGTACTTCGTTGAGAGCCAGATTGGCATTAACGCTGTGTTAAAGTATAATTAAAGCCTGTCCTGCTCCAAAAAAGGTGACAAGTACCTTAAAAACCAGAAACTTCTCTAAGAATTGAGAGGTTCACAAATTTCTTGAGTGGCTCACAATCATGATAGTTTCACACTGCACAGCTGCAGTATGCACGTAGTAATTGAACTACAACTGACACATACTAAATTTTGCAATTTGCCCGTTTCTTGTTGTTATTCGTTTTAATACAAAATGTGATTTTAAAGAGAAATAAGCCTTGATCGCAAACAACTCAAAAAGAAAGCAGAAAAATCAGAGAAGTAGACTGGTGAAATTTTTAATGAAATTGAACAAAAATTAGGAAAGCTGTAATCACTAAACATATATGGAACATATAGAACTTGAAATTGGCTGAATCATTGATCACTGTGATGTAAGGCCGAACAAGTTTTTCCCATTTGTTCAAAACACATAAAATATCTAAAATTTCACTTATTACGAGGGGCAAACGTTGTAGATTGCCCTTCACATTGCACAAATTATTTAAATGGTTTTACAATAAACTGTACAACTACTGCACAACATCAAACTGATCAAAGGGTTTATTGATTTGGTCCACAACCAGGTAGTCTACTACCCGATTAGTCTATTCCCATATGGTCTACACCCAGGCCATCCACTCTCCACATCCATGGTCTAATAAATTTGGTCTTATGACTACATGTACAGTGTACATGTATTTAATAGTCATTTGGTCTCATTTCCAATTTTCCATTTTATTTAATCTCCAATAACTCTACTACACTGTACACTGTAGCATTTGGTCTATTGCTCAGTTGCATGTACCGGTAGTCTACTTTCCAGTCGGTCCACTTCCCAGTTTGTCTAATGGTCATATCTTCTACTATACATATGGTCTAATAATCATTTAATCATTCATCAATATAACTATCAAATGATTATTAGAGCTCATGGATGGTAGACGAAATGGGAATTAGAAAAACTGGGATTGGACTAACTGGTTGTGTAGTCCAGGCAGTGGGCTATATTCTGCCTGATTAGCAGATTCTTTAGGTTACTATGGGCCACATATTAAAGAAAATCAAAACATGATAAATCTTAACCCTCAATCACTCTTCTGTCTGCCCCTTGCTTTACCCTCCCCCTTCCTTCACACTCCTACCCCCCCCCTCTTTTTTTTTTACACTATCTCTCTCTCTCTCTCTCTCTGTTTCACAATTTGTATCTCCAACTCTCTCTCTCTTCTCTCTCTCATCCTCTTGGTCTCTCTCTGTCCACTCTCTCTCTCTCTCTCTCTCTCTCTCTCTCTCTCTTCTTCTTCTTCTTCCCCCTCTCCTCTTCTTCCCCTATCTCCCTTTGAACAGTAGACTTGGTTAACTACGTTGCCAGGGAGAAAGCTGGAAGCAGTGCCTCAAACATCAGGATGCTATACAGTACGTCAAGTACAAGAATATTAGGAAGCTCCTTAATTGCTTTAATGAGTCAACCATGCTTAATTGCCAAGAGTTATTTTACCCTATAATACGCGTACAGACACATACACATACTGTACAATATGAATACTTGCACAAGTTGTAAGCGTAAAGGGTCCATGTACCCGGGATACATTACTATTATTGTCATCGTGTATCCATTCGGGAGGTATTAAGGACAACTCTAACATTCCTGGAATGCTAAAGCTTTGTACAGGTGCACTGTACATTGTACTAATACAAAGGCAATACATTTGTAAGATACAGTAATCCTAAATTAAATTCAACTCTTGTATTAAAGGTATTAATGTAATATGATTTTTTTTTGTTTTAAAGAGTTGAAAGCTACATGTACATGTACATATATGTACATGGGAAGTGTTATCCTGCTTTGTGAGAATTATCATCACTAAAATAAGAGAAAAGTTTGAATATACATGTACATGTACCGGTACATGAACAGCACAGTTTACATTTGAAGAAATAATGAGGTTTCAATGTGCTCAGGAAAAGGTCAGAAAGAAGCAAAACAAACAGAAAAGCTGCATGAAAATGTCAGTGACTCAAATTGTGCATGTAAATATATACACAGCTGTATCACAGTAAGCTGTATAATTACATTATGAGAGAACACCTTCATGCTTCAAAAAAAGTACAGGAAGCCATGTCTCCACATCTAGGCTTCACCACCGAGTTCCTTCTCACATCTCTTCAGGACAGCTACAGTGTACATGTAGCGCAGGTGTGTACATAATCAGGGAGATGGATCAAAGAAATGTGCAGGAGCACAGAAGATAAGGTCTAAGACTGAGGGGAGAGACCTGTTTACTAATGTATTAACATTTATGCATGTTTCACTCCAGAACAGTGAGAAAATACACGGGGGCTCGGGGCGGATTAGCCCCAAAAATGCCCAAAATGCCCAAAATGCCCAAAAAGAGCCCCCAAAAGTCATAAAAGAGCCCTCCAAATTTGCATAGAGTTCAATAGCAAAACAAATTAAAGAGTGTTATTTTCATGCAAGCAAGCTTGAAAAGTAGCCCCCGAAATCTTTTAAGTATTTTTTCCGCTCCAGAACCTCTAGTTACTACAGGTGTATACTAACTATTTAATTCACCTGCTACATGTACATACACAACTCCATGTACATGGACAGATCTGATGGAACCCATGCACTTTGCATGCATACTAAAAAATCATCTTTACAAAATTACCCTGCCTATTTTGTAAACAAACATTCCATGAATTCCAAATTGCCCTGCAATTTAAGATGATGATTATAGGGATATACAGTATCGGTACATGTAAGACAACATCTGTATGGACAGCTAGGACGTGGCCCAAGCCCCAAGGTTTAGCAAATCTTAATTGCATTATAACTTAATACTATATAATTTACAAAAATGATCGATGATAAGCTCAATTTGTAACATTCATTTTTTAATATTCCACTTTAAAGCTTATCTGCAGTAGTTTACAGGAGGGATTAGACCGCTCTGCAAGGTCACTGGACATTTGGTTATCTCATCAACTCAGCTCTCAGTTAACATAAGAAAAAGAGGATCATGGGGGACCAATGGTCACCGATTAGGCATTGTTTGTTATATAGAGGGCGCAAGTAGCTACCAGTAGTGCAGTGGGCCTTTAAGGAAGTTATATTTCACACAT